TATGGCAACAAGCACTATGTGGAGACAAATTAACAGCAAGAATAGCCTGGAAAAAAAAAACCTGCACACAGTAGAAATTAAGACTGGATTCCAAACCATCCTACCACTCCAGCTTCTTATGCTGCCTATGGAAAATATTTACATACTTCTAAGCCCCTGTTTCCCTATCATGTATGGTAACTGTGATGTACATGAAATCACACATGATAACACTCTTCTAGGATCTGTAAAGTTACACGAGAGAGATTGAAAAGTCATGATTGCTTTATGGCCTGTGCTGTGGGTATAATAACGACACAGTGGGATAACATAGGGAGGAAGGAAATATGGTGAGTTGTTTGCAGAACTCAACCAAAGCAGATTAAAGAAAGTCAGGCTTTAGAGTATTCTGTTCTTTGTCTGGATAGACTCAAAATACAAAAAGACTGTGATTGCACATATGGTTTTAGGATACCTGCTGTCATGTTAAAAAATTACTGCCACAAGCATTCAAAGTAGTGCTTTTGCTTTAATGGTTCAGCAAACTATATGCCCAATCAAACGTCACCTATTGTCTCACACATTACACGAAATCTGTACCATGTGCAGAAATGCAATTGTGCTCTTGTTTTACTTAGGCCTACTTATCCCAACAGGAGATCTGGCACTTCACAGGTCCAGTGTTAAGGGATGTGGCTATTTGAAGCACTGCAATAGGTTAAACAAGCAATCCTATGTCAAAACACATTTGGTGACACAAGTACATCATCTTTAATATGCATAGTGAAATATTTTGCTGATTTAGATTGTGTCAGTGGGACAATGAATGTGAATTACACCACTACAAAAAATTCCTAGTGAATGCAATCTTATTTCTGTATGTCCCAGGTCTGGTATATACCAGAAAATGATAATATATCTACTTTAATATAGACTTTTCTGCATATTCAAGCATGCAACAGTAAGACAAAGCTCTTCTGCTACTGATGTCACTACATCTATATAAGAGATGTACGTTTATCCACATCCTGGGCTAGTACAGCTATGACACTAATTTTTTCTTGCACAAAGTTGGCTGAAAGGCTCTAACAGACAAATCTGGATGAGTCTTCTGGGAGAGTTTAAAACAAAGGATTATAAACCTTTGTTAGGGGCTATTAATCCACCTTCAAAGGCGGGTAACGATCAGAAAAGAACACATATCCATCCGTAGGTGGTCCAGTTTGTACTCTAATCCATTGGCTTAATCTGTTGATAAAGGTGAGCTTGCACTAATGCACAGTGCTGTAAATCGATGCAGTGAGCAGCAGGCAGCTTTTCCCTTCTGTTTTTTTCTGCTATGAAGAATGCCAGCTGGTGTCTGGAGGACAAACGGACACAGCGACATCTTCACTGCTGAGATTTTTTCATGGTGTAGTTTAAAGTCAGAATCCTAAATGTAACTTCACCAGGGTAACAGACACAAATGTTCCTTACATTGGCATAATTTCCAGGATTACACAAGTGAAATCTGTTGTACTCCACAGACTCTTTATTACACTGTAGTTATTGCGTCTTTTAGAAGTGTTGAATCCAAGAAAGGTATTTCAAGGATAAGAGTAAACATCACATCCTCTGCAACTCTTAAAATATCAAAGTTGATACAATGAGAAAGTCAATTAAACTCTTAGCATGACAGTTAAGTATGTCAGCTCCGTAACATGGAAACTCTACAGATTATTCTATTGTGTGCTAGAATTTCATAAATAATTTTTACTGCAGGATTTATTTATTTATTTATTTATAAATCTCACTTTAAAAGAAAGTTTCAATTCCAGTAAACCTTAAGGTAAGTTGAAACCCAAGCAGAAGCAGGAGTGAAGAACAGATAACACAGTGTGGAATTTGAGAAAATAGGCATTTAAAAGTGTGTAGGGGGCAGGATGAGGTTGTATGTAACAGATAGGAAGGGGGGAAATTCCAGAAAAGGTGATAAACACAATGCTCAAGAGATGAGACTGTGCACAAGGCATGGAGCAGTCATGCAGATATGCATGCTGCTGCAGCAAAACAGTTCTTACTCTTAAACTGGTTTGAACAGCTTAATTAATCTTCCTCAGAGATGCATACGCATAAAGATGAATTGCCTTCTGACGGTGGACAGAGAACACACTCATATCAAGTGTGCTCCACAGTTTTGTTTGAAATAGTTTTATTTCCAGTCCTTTGCTCTTCCAGGATTTAATAGGTTGATGATTATCTTTTTCTGGATGAGCAAAACCAATCCCTGAGCATGCAGGGATTGTCCTGGCATATTATTTGAGACTCTGGTCATTCAATGGCTTTTAACTTCCCTTGGGATTTTCTCAGCTTGAGAAAGACTGGGTGACCTTCTCAGATTTCCACTCAGCCATTTACTAAGTTTATGTTTACCTGTAGGTGAAGTAGCTGCCACTTCCTTGATTCTCACTAAGCTAAGAATTAGTTGGCCATGTCCTTCTGCAGAACTGTACCTATTTGTCTTTTCTCAAGTTGCTTTGGTGTACTCTTCCACATCTCTGGAGTTAACACTTTAGGTGCAGGTGCAGTTGGAAAACACTTTTTAAGGTAACAATAGCCTGATCTGGATACTTCTTTGTGTCTACTGCTGTGCATGTGGCTACACCCAGAAGGGGATAACATGGGCAGATTTGCTTTAAACATGAGTTTAAGACAGAAATCACCTAGATAACACAATTAGATATTATCACTCTGACAATGCCAAAACAGCAAATGAAACCATGCTGCTTGCCCTCTTTCTAATTATTTAGCTTCCTTGCTGAAATATGCATCTCACTTGGGCATCAGCAAAACATTTACATTTTACCTTGTGCACTTTGAATGCTTGGGATGACTCTCCATCACTTGTCACAATTCCAGCACTCTCTTGGCCCCTGTGAACAAAATACAAATAAATATAAAGAATGAAAGTACTTAGAATGAAACACCATACTATGCTAAGGATTAATGTTTTTCATCTGCTCTTTACAACATGAACTTTTAATGTAAATTTATTTGTTGTTTCATTTTACACACTTGTATTCAAAGCAGTTTCTTGCTCTTTTTTTCAAAACAGTCACATAAGTTTTTTGCCTAAGCCCACTGAATTCAGTGGAAATCTTTCCATTAAAAAAGCACTGGCTCAGCCTCTTACTGCAGTCTGTATTCAGTGTAGGCATAAAATAACAACAGATGTTTAATCTGAAAAGAAACTTTGCAGTGCTACTACTCTAGCTACCATTAGCTAGAGTAGTAGCACTGCATCTATTTCTGTTGAGATCTGTCTTAAGAAACTGCTGGTTTTGCCTCAAGGAATGCATTTTTTCTCCCACTGATCACCTACACAAGTTTTTTGCACTCTTGCACTTAAGCAGCCAAACTAGCATTTACACCACTAACTGTTGTGTGAACCCTCTGGCAAAGTGCTTGAGAACATAAACCTAAGCTTCTGAACCATAGCAAAACAGTTCTGATGTATGGTGACATTGAAAACGGAAATGCTTCCACTATGGCAGACCAGTCTCACGCTGGCAGCTGTGTTTTGCTAAGCAGAAGAGCACTACCAGCTAAATGACAGCCTTGTCCCTAGACTGCTGCTTTTCCTCCCAGCTGTCTACCCTGACTCCGTGCAGGGCCTGTCTGGCCTCCTCAGATCCCACTGCATTCTTGTACTTAATAAGGAGTAAAAGGGAAAGATGTTTTTCTTAGAAAATGAACCACTTAGAATATTTTTAGAATACCAGAAGCTGCTATTCATCCATTGGACTGGTTTAACTCAACTGAGGAATTATCTAGCATAAGCAGTAATCAAAGTAGCTGCAAACCTACATAACAGATTGTAATCTACAACTGAAGACTTTCTTTAAGCCCTAAAACCCTTATATTTGTCACTAGACCCACTTACATGTACAGCAACATCTAAACAACAAAGTTTAAAGAACAAAGAAAGCAGAACAAAACAAACTCCACACATATCTGAATGAATTTACAGCTGACTTGAAAGATCCCTGAGGAAAAAAAAATCAGAGATAAGAAAACCCGTAAGTTCATTCATTTTAACTCAGGAAGACATCCTATCTGTTAACATAATGACTGACCTTAATCTTATTAGATTAAGGGTTCATACACCACATTCAGCAACTTTTAATTCAAATTTCAATATTATAGATGATTTCCAGTTCAATATTGATAATGTCCCTTAAAACATCACCAAAATCAAATAGAGGGAGAGAAGCCGACATCGTGAATGAAAGGACTTTGCAAGTAGTGGGCTTACATCTTTTATGTAGTCTAATAGAAGAATAGTAAGCACAGGCAAAAAGGAAGCAAGGAGCTTATGCCATTTTACCAACTTAGTGATTTTTAAGTAAGCAAGCACTTAATTAACTCATCACCGGTAGTAAACGGACAGTAAAAATGCATATAGAAATGCATGCAAGCGCGCCCCAATTTTACAGCAAATGCCACTTGGCCACGCAATGGTGAGGCTGTGCATCATGCCCACATTGCTGCCACACCACGCACACCGCCTGGCAGCCCACACAGCGGCCGGCAGCAGCCTCAGGTTGCTGGTGGAGAGGAGGTGCTGCGGCACTCACACACAGCACCCACACAGCGCGTCCGCGCAGCCTGTCCCCAGCATGGGGGAGGGGGATGCCAGCACAGCTTGCTTTCTGCACCTGTGTTTTTCTTGCTCAAGGCATCAAGCCAGCCCAACCGGCTTTGCTGCCCTGATGGCAGCGCAGTGGTGACACCGGCACCATTTTCCACACAGGGGGCTGAGAGGCCACTCCAGGGGCCGGGCAGAGAGGCGGCTGATGGCAGTGTGGCTGCCAAGGGTCTGCCCTTGTGTGCCTGCCCGCTGGGGCTCTGGGTGCCGGTGTGGAGCTCAGGGCGGCCTGCAGCTCGCGGTGCTCAGGGCGGCGCACCGAGAAGCAGGCGCCTGGTTGCCTAGGGAACCAGATCTTGGCTAGAAATAGTGAATCATTTCCAGGTCACTCTCAACATGGAGAGTGGAGCGGGGAAGCACTGGACTGAGGAGGAGGTTAAAGCCTTGCTAAGCATCTGGTCGGAGAAGAGCATCAGGAAACAGCTCCACGGCACCCTGAGGAATAAAGGAATATTCATCTACATTGCCAAAAGGCTGCAGGAGTTAGGAGTTTGTAGAGATTGGAAACAGTGCCGAGCAAAGTACAAAAACCTGAAGTATGAATACAGAACGGTTAAATACGCCCGTAACTCCGGGGATGCCACTAAAACCATGAAGTTTTTTCATGACCTGGATGCCATACTGCGATGTGAGCCTGTCGCACACTTGGCTGCCGAGGGGAACGCCAGGTGCTCCACCACCGAGGCACGGCTCAACGCCAGTCCCACCGCAGACAGCAGCCAAGGTAAAACTCTTTCTGCTTCTATATCCTCCCTTTGTTTAAAAACTACCAAACAAAAAGCCCCCAGCCCCCGACAAACAAGCCCACATCCTAAGTTTGCCGGCTCTGCGCTGAGGCTGCCCAGCCTGGCAGTGCTGTAGAGCAGCCCCAGACGGGATGCGCTCCGGCACAGGGCAGGACATGTTAGCACCCACCAGTGTTGAAGCCTGTAAATACAGAGTAATTCTCACCAAATCACACTAACTGCTTGCAGTAAAGCCTCTGTAAGTACTCTGATGTCAAGGCTCCTGCTCAGGCGTTAAATTAAGGAAAGATGGTTGTGTGTGTTGCTTTTTTTTTTTTTTCCCTTTAATTTCATTTGCGATACTTTGCAACCCTGACTATTAGAGCTCCAGTTCTAAACTTAAAGAAAACTGAATGTAGATGTGGAAAATGTCATGATTATTTCAAGAACTGTTACTTGTGGCACAACTGAAATTTCTAGTTTTTATTTTTATTTCTCTGTAATTGAAATTTCAGCTATGACCAAAGGTAAATGAAATTATTCTATTAGAGATTAACTTCATTTTTTTGAGAAACAGAGGGATGTTTAATAACTTCCTATTAAAAAGTGTAATGTGCCAAGGAAAAATAAGAATTGTAATGTTTGTCTGAATATTCTGAGGCAAAACACATAACTACAACTGCTCTTATTCTGAAAGGGTTTTTTTAAACCAAATTAGTTGCATTCCTTGTTTAATTCGGCCCTCTTTACATATGCATTTAAGCTGTACTTAACATTTCATTAGGGTTAATCTGCTATTTGACAGCACTCAAACCTCCTCATCTCATTTTGAATGTCACTGAAGCACAAGCTCCAGTAATAGTTCTAAGTATCCAAATAATATGGCTACAAAGAGAAATTCAAAGATAAGCTCAATTTGTTCCATCCGTATATGCCAATTTACATTAATTAAGACTGTGAATCTTTTTAAAGAAAACAATAAACCCACTAAAATAGTATTAGAGGAACTTGCCAGTGGCACAGAGATGCTGGACATATAGCTTACCACTGTACTCTTCCAAGGCTCCTTCTACAATGCTGTCTTACAGATCTGATAAAAAGGAATTAACATTTCTTTTGCCACTGTTTACCTTAGCTAAAAGCTCGACCTTAATTTGTCATCATTAGCATAAAGCCTCTAATCTGTCATAAATCACTTAAAAATAAAATGCCAATTTCATGCTATTTTAACATGTGCTGTCTGCACAATGCATTGCTACTACAATCCATTTTTATTTTATGCAGAACTGAGAGCCAAATCTGTGGCTGATACAAGCTGTTAACTCCTGAGGAGTGCACAAAGCTAAATCAGAGTCCCTCCTCTCAGGATCTGAACTTAGGTTATCCTCTGTGTTTTGATGCAGTTTGCACCAATTGTTAATCTCATCTCATGTAATTCTCATCTGCTTTCGATCTCTTGCAAGTTTAAATCAGGAAGAGTTGGTTGCAGTTATGAATCCCAAATTGGAAAAAAACACAAAAAATAAAATAAAAAATTTTCGTCCCCGAGGTGAGACGCTTCATTTTGAAGCATTCACACAATCTGGTTTTAAAGGTGGTATAATGAAATGCACAAGCATTTCTACTACTTCCTTTACAAGGAAAAAAAACTCCAACCAAGTATTTTATAAACAGAAAGTAAATGAAACTGTAACAGCAATTGTAAAACTGTAAAAATAACTGCAATTGTAATAATGTAACACAAGTGGTAACAATTTAAATGCAAAGACTCCTATAACCATAATTCAGCCACAGTGGAAGCTCGCTAAGCAATGAATGTGTCCTGCAGGTATGCAGCACACACACATCTGCACCATGGGCAGAGCGAATAGCGGTGACAGCATCAACTTCCTTCATTTAAGGACACAAGCCAAGTAAACAGCGCTGCTTCAGGGACAGTTTTTTCCCATTGCCATCAGATGATGGCAATGCCATCATCATTGCCATCGTTGTGGTGGCTATGAAAGGAGGAGTTGCCAAGCTCAGTGTTTCGAAATTCAGTTGTAAGGCTGAAGCGGCATTTGTGGCTGTGCTGCTGCTGGTCAGAAGTGTCTCGTGGGTGCAGATGTGAATGTGGCACTCCCACAGATGGCAGCGTGAGTTTGCACAGCCTGCTGTGCCTATCCAGCATGAACCTCACAGCTCCTCTGCAGCCTTCGGGAAGAAAGGGACTATTCCATACAAGTATCTCCTGTTAAGACCTGTGTACATCTGTGTCCTTGCAGGTGCCCTCCTCAACTTCTGTTTAGCCACTGAAAGCTACAGGAGCAGAGGGAGGCACGGTTCTACCCCTCTCTTTTTCAGAAGGGGCTGAGAAGGTTTATTTTAACAGCTGGAGGAACCCAAGGCTTCTGCCTTGCATAGGAGGAGCAGCAACAACAAAAGGCTATCAGAAAACTAAAACCTGTGCCAAATAATAATATTCACTATGCAGATCTTATCTGGAGAACTTAGCTGTTGTAAAGTGTTATTTAAAATGCATGACAGGGACAGGGCACACTCCCAAAAAAACTCTTTTGTCATTCTGCTTAGCCTCAGTTTAAATATTCATACTCATCCTTCATATAAAGCTACAAAGTTTTGTTTGATTATTTCAACTACTACGATACTGCTGAGGAGGGAGAGGAAGGAGAAGGAGGGAAAAAAAAGAAGTCTAATTCTATGGGAATGAATGGTATTTCTGCAGTGTTTTCCTGATTTTCCTGATTTTTTTTTTTTTCATATCTTATAAAGTCAGATTCCTTTAGAAAGTAGTTTAGATAAGCTAATAGTTAAAATCACAAATAAATCTGAGAGGTGTCTGAGGACAAACTCACTTTCCTTGCCCTTTGCTTTACAACAGCAAACATAGAAAAAAAATCTAATTTCAGTTCAGTCAGAATAGAAATACATCAGCAAGGAAATTGTTATCATATGCACTCAACTTAGATGGCTACTAGAAAAGATCCTATGAAAATGCAAACTGCAAATGCCACGCATATTTCATTTTCCATGTCTGGACTTTAACATTAAACTTAGCATTCACAAATATTCTATATACTTTACTATAGAATTATTAATAAAAGAATGCAATACATGCATGTAAACTTTTTTACTTATCAAATACTTTTTTTCCATCAAATATCCTTTCTGTCAAATACAACATATTTCGTGTTTGCTGTTCTTATTTGCTTACGATATTAAGCAGTTTATTTTTAAAGTGTACCTTGTAAATAAAGCTTCTTTATCCCACTGCCCACACATGGCCCATTCAGTGGGCCTCCCACAAAGAGCTTGTTTCCCTCTCCACAGTTTGCATTGCGGCTCTCAGGCAGATAAAGCACAAGGCCTGGCACTAGGGGTGGAGGCAGGAGCACACCTTTCTTCCTGTCAAGCCAGTTGCAGGGGATTACAGCTTCTGCCAGAGAAACAAGGTGGACAGATGGCAGCAGTTAGAGATGAGGCCACAATATCTGTGAGTCATTCTGGGTCTTGCTGAAAGTCGGGAAGGATTTAGGATAATGTTTTCAAACAAATCTAGATGCAGTTTTCAATTTCACCTACGTCAGGGATGCCACATTCCATCAGGACTGCATCTTGTCACTGCTTGCTGTTATTACTGCAGCACTGCTGTGCAGGTAGCTTTGATCGGTGTGACCTACCTGGTTGGAAATGACAGCAGCTCACTCAGCATAACTGCAAAATCATCATTTCAAACTTCCTGTCAACACAGTGTGTGTTGAATAGAGCACAATTTAAAAGTCTGTCCTCTGTGAAAATTAAGCTGACTCATAATTTGAGCTACATGTGCTGCTTTCCAAATGCATGTAGCAATTGCTATAATGTTGCTTGTTAAAGAAATGTAGGAATGCAATACTTTAAAAGCTAGATTGAATCCAGTTGGCTACAAGTATGTCCGTGCTCTACACAGAGTATTTTCCCGCATTCCCTGTACCATTAATCGCTAGATTTCCACAACTCTTTGCTGAACATCATTACCTTCTTCCTATTCTTCTCTAAATGTTCTTTTTGGAAATTTTTGTTTGGTTATATAAATGAATTCATGTTTATCTGAATCCATGTGCAAAGTCTACTTTTTTGTACATCTCTACATTCTCTGTTTTCAAACTACAGTTTTAACGTGCAACCTCAAATACCAAGAATCAGAAAAGCATATGGGTCACTAGAATCTGGTCAGTTTCTAAGAATTAAGAATTTTAGAATAAAATATATTTCTAACAGACATTGTATGTAGATGTAAAATAATTTAATTTAACTCCTGTAACTCCCATCCTTTTATGGGGACAGGCCAAATGAGTTTAAGTTTAATTTAAATACAAATCAAGCGTGGAGATTACAACGTTACTGATTTCATTTTGTATGGACATTTTCACTTAAACTAATTTCTAATTTTGTCCATACCTGTTTTTATCTGAAAACTCTTTCCTCCTCAGGTGAATTATCAGTTTCTTTAGAAGACGATGAGGATGCACCAGGAGATCCACTACTTTTTATGTCACATGTCAGACCAGTTCAACTAGGTATAGTATGATGGAGCAGTGACCCAAAATTAAATGCATAGCTTTCTGAGCTTTGAGAGCATTTTCAATAGCTTGAATATGCCATCATTGTCTGACCAACAAAGCTTTAAAATAATCACACTATTCCACCTTCTCCCTCCTAGTCTTAGTACTTAGCAGTCTCAATCATCACTAAATACTTTTCACTGCATGTGACATGCCTCCTGCTCGACCACCACTCCCACTCAAAAGACATCCCATGTTGTAGTTTATCCATGTCAACCATATTAGTTTTGTTAAATGCTAGTGGAAAGCATGACAAATGGTAGTGTGTGATCCACATGTCAACTTGTGGATTTTCTCCAACTCGTGTAACTTTTGCTTGAAGTAGTATTAGTGAATGGCCTGAGCCAGGACAGCAGTGCAGAAGTCTGACCTCTCCTACTAAGTAAGCCAGGTTCACAACAGTCTTCACAGCAACTGTCTTCTCTTCAAGCAAAGGGTGGTGAACAATGTTTTAGGCTAACAATACAACTTGAAACTGGCCAGTAGGACTCCTGTAAGAGTTTTGCTAAGGCAAGTTATTACAGATAACAAATTTTTTTTTTGTTATTTAGATTTGTTATTATTACAAATCTGGCAAGCTTTAAGGAAGGTGAATATCCTAGATGTGAACCCCTTCAATGGGCTGCTGAAGACAACAGAGAGATCTGAACACATTTTGGGGAGAATCAGAGAGAACTGATGAGCTCATTCCTTCCCTGGATGAACAGCAGCACTGTCCTGAATCTTCCCAAGTGCTCTTTTCACTTCTGTCAAGTCCTTTTTGCCCTAGGGTACATCCCAATCCATTCTCAACTTTCATTACATAATCTCCAAGGTGCAATATTCTGAGAGAAAACAGGGCCCCAGCTAAACCTATGGCTTTTAATAGCTACACTACACTCCTTCTGCCTGGCATAACAAGAAATCAAGGATGAGACAAGAATACCACATGCAGTAACTGTATACACACATTCACATAAAACCAAAACTTTTATTGCCATATCTGAAACAAAGTTTACAGGAATAGGTCTGTGCTATTCATTAGTGCTCCTGCAGCATACTCCTCCTTTTGGAGTTTTCTGTTGTGAGCCTAAGACACAGGTGAGCATTTCATTTTTGATTGTCTCTTTCCACCACGATAATCTTTCTAACTACAAACCTGTAAAAAACTATCCTAACTACGCTACTCTTCTAACTGTACATTTGTTAATTGTACACCTGCTAAATAACTGAAGTTCTGGAAAACATGCTTTCTATGAAGACAGCTCAATAACTTAAATTGCATAGGCTCTCAGGTATGTACTGATACTAAAATGTCTTCTCTAATGCCCCAGTTGATCTTCAGATTTCAGACAGTGGTTCAGACACCACTGAAAAAAAATATTGAGCTCTTCATACCCATGTTGCTTAATATTTTGGTTCCATTTCAGCAGATTGCTCACTTTTTTCATGTTGAAGAAGCTGAGAAAAATACCAAATATGGCACATACACCTTTCTGATTAAAAAACATTTGGATATCCTATGTTAATAATTTCAAAATCATTTTTAAATAAATTTGAGCTGAAATGAAGACATTAAGGAAAAAATAGAGACTATAACCGCTTTGTCTGATTAAGGGTAAAATATTTTGATTTTTTTTTTTTAAAGGTAATGGGGAACCAAACAAGCAATTTTCTATTCTGCTCTACTTGCTCTGCATATAGTAGAACAGATGAGCAATCCACTGAGTCACTAGAACTCATTCAAACTAATGTTTATAACTGAAAGTGAGCTCAGTTGCAAATGAACTTCATAATGAGAAATACTGGACTATACAAGAACTAAAGAAAGCTTTTCCCTCTCAAACTACCATATACTGTATGGGTTTGACTGACAAATGCAGAGCCAATAGAGGGCTGTTCTTCCCCGGGGCTTTTTCCTCTGGTGTTCACAGTGCTCTCTGACAGCGAAGAATGAGCTACTTTGGAAACACAGATAGGTGAAATACTCCCAGTAATACTAAGCAGAGACCACATCAAGCTTATCTGATGCTGACAGTTGACAACCATGGCAATTCCTATAGTTGCATTCACATGTAAGCTAGCATTTTCCCTCAGGAAGAAATGAAGAAGGCATATCTTATCTGAAAATTACACTTCCTAATAAAACATCAGTCAGTTGGCTGCTGCAGAGTTCCAGTTATCACAGGGCTAACAGGAAAAATATTGGTATTAGTACAGCTTTCTCACAAATGGAATGAATTACAGAGCAAATAATGCCTGTATCTGGGACAAGCTTGTCCCCAGACAGGTTATTATACTCAACTATGTTCCACTTCTGCTGTCTGTGCAAGCAAAGGTCAGATATTTTTGCCATCACACAGAGCCCACTGATTATACCATATCCAACGCCTGTATTCTGGCTTGCCCTGCTAGAATAAGCCACTTGCAAAAGCATTTATGACTTCAGTATGACTGAAAAAAAAAAAAAAAAAAAAAAAAAATCAGTTACTGTTGTGGACTTTCAGTTTTGCTCTCTTTGATAAAAGTGTTTTTTTTATTATTTTTTAAGTTATTTTTTGAAAAGATTTGTAAAATGCATGAGATAAAACTTCCCAAACTAATTCAATAACCAATCAAAATGACGTCTTTAAGCAAATTCATAATTACAAATAAGGATTTCTTCTTCAATGCAAGAGATCATATTTCAGTGTTTACAGTGATTGTGTGTATCTCCTTTATTTCCTAACACTAAAAAAAAAAAGCTGGAGACTGGAGAGAGTCATAATATATAATACTAATACAGTTCTACAAAATAAGTCGCTGAAATTGTCATTTTTCATTTAAAAATATGTATTTTTTTGATCATCGAAATCTTGATATTTATGCTGAACTACACTGAGAAAGGGAGCAGTTTTGTACCAGCAGATCACAAAATGGCAAAATTCTCCACTTGTCCACTTCCCTCAAAAGGGGTGCTTTGTTTGGAGTTAAGAATTGGATTCTTCAGATCCTTGTGCAATTTGAGTTCTGCATGTATGTAAAACCAGAAGCATGAGATGAATGCAGGAAGTTAAGTCTTTACGCTAGAAAAATCATTAGGAACTAGCATACTTCATCCTCATTCTCTCTGTCCTTTCCCTACCCCACCTACCTAATGCAGGTAACCTGTGTCTGTGTCTCTCCCCTACCCCACACGATGCAGGTAATCCACTGCCAGCAGTAGAGGCTTCCAAAACACCGGCTTTCATTCCAACAGTAGCAAATGAAGGAGGAAAACATTGGACTGTTAATGAAGTCAGAGCTCTGATACACATATGGTCAGACAAAAATATCCAGCAACAACTGGAGGGGACAGTGAGAAATAAAAGAATATTTGAACAGGTTGCTGCTAGACTTCAAAAGTTCGGAATTGACAGGGACTGGAAGCAGTGCAGGACAAAATATAAAAATCTGAAACATGAATACAAGAGCATAAAAAATGGCCAAGACTCAGGGAGTACAAGTAGAAGCATGAAATTTTTTAATGAACTGGATGCTATTCTGGGGCATGGTACCATGGAACGAGCAAGTAAATCAGATAATGAGGAAAGTGAGAGGCCTCCAGAGTGGACAGAAGCAAAATCAGGAAAGGACTCCATAGGTGAGTACTCCAGCTTCCCACCTATCATTTAAGATTTTTAGTTTTAAATTTTTTTGCAATAGCAATCTTAAAAATGAATCACAAAAAAACAAGCAGGTAGGTGAATCAATTTGCTGGGTGGGGTGGTGGAGGAACCCAGAGTAAAAAGTTTTTTGTCCAGTAGTTCACTTAATATTATTCAGTGATTTCCTCCAAGCATTTTCTATAGAATTTGGAAACAAAAAGAAGAAAACAAGATGAAAAGAAAGAGACAATTGTAATCAAAATCAAGTCTGAATAGACTGTTTGCAGCTTAGATAAGAAAGGATCAGACTGCTACTGGACAAAGAAATCTACAGTTGTAGGCAGTAGTTAAAAAATGTTTAATTTATTTTTCTTATGTTGTCCAACAAATTCAGTTTTACTGGCCTTTTGAGCTAAGTTCCCCAACTAGTGAGACAACTATTGTAAAAATAGCAGAATGACTGGTGTAAAGAATCCTGGCAGTTACTTGTTTTTGTGTGCTTATTGATGGATAACTTCATACTGAATGGACTAATGCAGAAATAGAAAAGACCAATGAACCTACAGTGCAAGAGAGTTAAATTATTTTTCTTATGTGTATACATCCACGTAGAGGCATGTTGTTTAAAAACAAAATTAAAATTAAAGTCATTTATTACACAGTAATAATCCTACACGGTGGATGACTTTATGGCCAAAAATATAAGTCTAGCTTAATGGAAGAAGTCAATGAAGAAAAACATAATGCAAAGATGAGTGGATAGTCTGATAAAAACTATAAGAGCATTTTGGGAGAAGTTTCACTCTTCGGTTGCAGTTTCTAAATTCTTTGTTTATGTATCTACTAATGACTGCTGGCATAAAGGGAATCAATAGGTTGGATGGCTCATTTGACTTGACACAGTACAGCTGTTCTTCTGTGGAACACAAATGCAATGCCCTAATTAACACTGCATTACTTACACAGAAATACCTGGAGACACAGGTGAAGAGGACTCTGTTAGTAATTTGTCTGAAGACCTACAGGTTGCAGATGTAAAGAAAGTTTCTGATTCAGGTAAACTGAAAAGTCTACTTTTTTTATATAAATTCTTACATTTAGTAACCTTGGATGGATTTCTAAAAGAAGCGTGCACTGCAACAACAGTCAGAAAATGCAGAGGTCTTCAAAACAAAAGATATCACAATAATAACCATACTTCTAATAATTACAGGCACACGTGCACATTTACGGTGCTATGCTGAATTTGACAAAACCAGTCTATTAAATAACCCTTTTGAAGATTTAGGGACCACAAAATAAAGAAGAAGCTATAGATTTAAGGAAGTTGAGTATAATATTACTACATTTGTTTAAGCAGTATATACTCCAGGCACATAATTATCCATCTCCTGTGCATAGTCTAATACAGTGTTCTGAATTTCACAACATGATTTGGTCAGTATTTAACAGAATTCTGTCAACACCCATGCCAGCGGTGAGAATTTCATTTTCAGATATCACTTTCTAGCTTGTGGTGGCCACTGAAAACGAAAGCCATACGCTCTTTACAAAGAAACATTACAGCTTACTTCTGAAAGCATAACTTCTGGGGGAAGTGGGAGTTCAGCACTGAGCTAAAGGCATGTATGAAAGTCTGGAAGGCTGAAGGGTGCGTCTTTCCTTGGCAGAGAGGACCTAATGGTCTCCTTCAGTAGCACAAGGTAGAATGTGCACGTAAATAAGGTGTTAAGGAGTACTCTAATACAATTTAAAATGGTCTAAAGTGAACTTGAAAGGTTTTAATGTCAAATTAAAAATCTTCTGTCAGATGATGTTACTGTAAATACTTCTCCAAAGAATCTGGCAGCTTTTCATATAAGGAAAGAAACAGCTATGACAAGTAAAGAGATAGTTGATGATTAAATGTAATTTGAAGTATTCTGGGCATTAGCATTCTTGCTTCACTGCTCAAATGTAATTAGATTTATTAATTTAAGTTTACTCACAAAGAAATATGCAACTAGCCTTTTACCGGATTACCACAGACACCTCAGGCATTCATTAGGGAAAAAACAGGTTGTCACAGAAAGTACATTTTCTAAAGAGACAAAATATATAAGAAATCATAACCGCTATTCAGTGAGATCTACTCAAGACAACTTGTAAAATGCATCAAACTCCATTTTCCCCCATGAACAGGTAAAATCACCACATTGTAATAATACACAGACTCAGCAGTGCTACTAAACTGTCCTAAGGCTTAGTTTTTTTTTCCAAATGCTTGCTGTGTTAATATTGTAACCTTCTTGGATTGCAAGCTTCTGAACCAGTTAAGGGAAAGTTAACTGTATATTTCCAGGACAGTTCTGAGCACTCATTTTTAACTTTTTAACATTCCATTAGGATACGTGTAGTAGTTTGGCAGCTACAGCTTACCATAGTTACCATTTCCCTTTTCAAATGTATGTACTTTAATGGCATTTTTTCTTTGTTTCTGGGTAATTGCAATTGCGATTTGTAAAATCTCATTTTGTAGGCAAAAAATAAAATTGCAAGTATATCACATGTTTCTCTAGATTAGCCTATTCACTCTGAAGACTATTGTTCCAACTTCTGTGGGGAAAAACAGGCAAAAAAACAGGACCCACTCTTGATAAGACGCCGTTTCAGTTTCCAAAATCCTTTTCTCCATTCCCAAATGAACAATACAGGATCCAATTATTTTATCACAGATGGTAAAAACTACTTCATCTTTAATGTTATCTATGGCACAACCATTAGGCACTATATAAAGCAGAGAACAGAAGTTTGCTTCTTACTTCAATACCGTGGGCACTCTATTTTCTAGTTTTGATACTAGCCTTTCCTTGATAATTCAAGTGAATTTAGAGTGAGAAACTTAAATAAAGAGTATGTAGCTTTGTATTCACAAAAAGGCAAGCAGCAGCAGGGATACCATGTTACAGGGGTTCTTCAGTATCAACAGAATTCTGGCAATCCATAGCTTTTAGGATGTGACCTCTGTTACCTATTACAGCAGAACTTCCACAGAAAACCTCAACAAGTTTATGATTTTAATCTATATATATACATTTATTTATTTTTCTTTTAAATAATTGTAAAATAAATAAATAAATGGACATAAATATGAATTTAGAAATTCAATTAACCTTGCTCTGCATTTTCATGCTGGGGCATCTTCCAAATTTGTACATAGAAACAGCAAGTGGAATTAAGTGCATGTTTGTTTCTATGAACTAGAGGCTTCTGCTTTCTGGAAACTGCAGTAGCATAAAAGTGCAGAGGTGTATAAGATTCCTCTGCAGAGCATGTACTTCTCATGATCTTATGAGTGCATCTGAGTTAAAAACTATAGTGACATTATCACCCACTGCCAATCATTACGAACAGTCCAGTCAGGTATGCCAGGTTCCAGCAAGGAAAAAGATTGAGACAGTGTTAGTCAAAAGACAAACCCGCCAGTCTGAGGCAAGTGCTCAGTTATTTGATGTTTCATTATTTTTTCACCACTGCACAAATGTATTTGCCACTTAAAGAGTAGCAAATGTCCACTTGGGAAGGAATAGATAGAGGAAAATAAATCCTTATACATTCTTTGACAGACTGCAACTGTACTGCAGTCTCTCAATCCATTGTGCTTGAGGTGACTGGCCAGCAGAGTGCACCAGAGCCTTGTATCAATCACAGAACCATTCTCCAGTCAAAAACAGGCAAAGAAAACCCAGGGTCACTGTAAACTTCTTCCTATCCTGATAACAGTTATCCATATTAAGTCAATCTGGAAATAAAACCAATGTAGTCACTTTTATTTCTGTTTCATAAAACATGAGATTGCTTTTAAGGGCAGCTAATTCCAGAAATCTATTTAGAAGAGCCAATTCAAAGTCTGCATGCGTAAGCACGCATTCCAAACATGTTACTTGCAGCGTGACCACAGACTGTGTACAGGTATTTGATTAAATCTAAAGTAACACAGGAAACAACAGTGAAAATAAAGACAAGACTCTAAGGAATGCCAGCAGACTGATGCAAAAACATCTATGCGTTTTGTTTCCAACAAATTACTGCTCTTGTCATTATTTTTGTTTTTCTTTGTGCTGCTTTATGTCTCTCTAAGGACAAATTTGTGATAAGCTGTGACACTGCCATGGTACATTGTTAAGAAAATTATTTGAAATGGTTGTTTAAAGCTAAGGTCTTAAGTCAGAACATACTCAAGGCATTTATGTGGCTTCTCTTGAATATTGCCTGTGAGTAGAATTTTTAAATGTTTAGTCAAAAGAGAATGTTTTAATGCATATGTCTTAGGCTGGTATGAAGTAGGTGCACTTTTGTATCATAAATGACACAGATGAGGGTAAGGATTAAGATACATTACTAATCTTGCTTAGTGAGCCAGAACACAGGATAAATAGCAATAGTGAGCACAGTACTGAAAGAGAACATAGCTTGTTATCAATCTGAAGAAGTAAATGGGAGAAGACTGCTACAGTGTTGCTCAGGTGGCTTTGTGAGCAGTGCTCCAAATACAAAGTAGAGATTAAGCACGTTTGCTGGCAGTCATTTATAGCTTGACAAAACAACTTGGATGGAGCCAGTATCTTTTATAAATGTCAGAAACCAATGATGGTTTGCTCTGTTTGGCTCAGCCATGCTCTCCTCATGCCCTCCCCCAAAAACTCAGGCAAATGGTTCAGAAAAAAAAGGCAGGCTATCTACCCACACATTCTTGGCTCAAAAGAAAAAAGGAAGAAAGAAAAGCACATGATGCTGGTCACATCATAAAGAATGTCTGATGCAAACAAGTCTGTATTGATTCAGAGGGTAATTTTTAATAAAATGACTATAGATCGTGTGCTATTGCTCAATGTTTGTGGGCAATATTCTTGAATGGACTGAGGCTGGGAGTCAGCAGCTGCTGTCATTGATCTGCAGTGTGGCCTTCAGCATGTAATCTTTGTATACCAGTTTCCTCACCTAGAAATGATGATTGGAGAGACCACTTGCATCATCTGCCAATTTGTCTGAGGGCACAGGGGTGGAGTTCCCCATTAAACAAGGGAGAACCAATGACAGAGGTGCAGAGCTCTCCTCCCCGTGGAGGAGAGCCCATGGACCCACTGTCAGTGTGCCCAGAGCCTGGGCCCCAACAGTGTGAGGTAAGCGCTGCCACAGTTGCAGCAGGGGGGGATGCTCTGAGGACAGGAATGTAATACTTTGTCTCTATCAAGCAAGCAATCAGTCCTGCAGATCAATTATCCAGGCAGAGCACACTTATGTCAATGAAAGGACTCTTGCTCCAGCTGAGGCTAATTCAGTGACTCTGGGCATCACTCACCTGGGAGTCTTTCAAATTTCAGTGGGTACTGAAACACCCCCTACAAAAGTCACTGTCTTGCCTGTTCTGCTGCATGCAGGTTTATCAGTTACTATGTTATTTACAACCATGATCAGAGAACAATTCTAAACATTCTGATCCAGCTTTTACTAACTTAAGAGTTTGCGCATTTCATCCATAAACTTACCTGACAAGTTGTCACGTGGTATTCTGGAGTTATTTTATAATTGCTTACACTAGGCTTTTAAGCCCAGCATTGTCAAGAAGTGACAGTCTTAAATTAAGAGATGAAATCTCTAACAATAGTAATCATTACAGACACTGTCAAGTTGGTGGTCCTAGAGCCATATCTTAAGGACTGTTTAGTTAATAAGAACTCTAAATCTCTGTTGCAGAAATCCTTGAAGATGAGGAGGACTTCAGCAATTCCACCCTGGCAGCTCTGGAAGCTACACAAATAAAGAAGGAGACAATTGATATAGGTAAGTGAAGACCGTGTCCTGATATTTATAACAGTTCTACTTTAATGGGAGCTGTAGATCCCTAAGATTCATGTTACTCCTACTTATACTCATTCTACTTCTAGGTTATGATAAAACCTGTTCTTGTTTAATTTCCTAGTGAAAAAAATGCATAAACAGTTACCTCTCCTTTCATCCATTAAGAAAAGATTGTATTTCACCTGACAACATACTTCTTATGCTACATGTGATAAATATGTGCTTGTTTGTGACACAAATACAGGTTTGTTTTTTTTTTTTTCTTCACAGCTACTAGAGGGTGACCTGGATGACTAAATAGCTATCCCATAAACACTAAACGTTTTATGCCTTGTCTGTCTTTTCCAACTATTTCAAGACAGTCCATTAAATTTGAGACTGTTCACTATCCAACAGTTTGCATAAATATTCTGTGTTATCTTACCTCTAAAACTGAAATCAGAGTTGAATACATTCAACAACACGTATTTGGGAAATATATTAAAACCACTTAAAATTGACATCAGAGTACACGTGGGATATTAACCTTCTGGAATAACTGAACATAGAAGCTATGGATGGTCACGGAAGAAAGGCATTAGAGAAAAATAGCAATGACATTGAAATCTACTATCCTGACATCCTGAATCAAATCCTACTTTTACAGTATTACTGTTTATACCCAGAATTTAAATGAATGAGTAAAAAAACTCAATGCAGTGATTTTTGGAATGAAAATTCTTTGCCCTCTTAGACTGAAAGAATATTTCCATTGTATGCATCAGTATTTCTGCAATCCAGGCAAGGAGCTGTCCTTGGCAATTATGTTATCTGAAATTGGTTGTTCAGACCTCCTGTTCAGCACAGCTTTTACAGCTGTTTACATAACTGTAAGGAATATGACACTGAGGACAACACCAGAGCAATGCCATCACAGCAATGACACTGAAAACGCAAATTACATTAAGGATAAAGTAAGACCGTGTCCCTGAAAGTTCAGGGGCATAGCAAGGCCACCTGAATGCAAAGAGAAGAGTTCATGCACAGTGAAACAGAATACAAATGATTGCTTTAGTTGCACCAATTCCCTTTTCTTGTCACATAATATCCATTGAAGATAGCAATCACTTAGGTCAGAAGTACACAAATGCACAATGAGATTAGAGTGCACGGTTGAGAGAATGAACAAGAAAGCAAAGCTATCTTTCCTGGGTCACAGTTTAAAAAAGAAAATAATAATAATCACTCAAGAGCCCAGGAATAGAATCATAGAATGTTTTGGGTTGGAAGGGACATTTAAAATCATCTAATTCCAATCCCCCTGCTACAGGCAGGGATATGTACCTCTCGACCAGGTGTGGTAGTGCTGCCTTTCGGTTCAAGGCTGTATTTCCAACAGCTGAAAATGCAAGAATTTTCTGAAGAATTATGGGGTGCCTAGTCATGAAATAGAAGTTTATGAAACAATTTTTCTTGTTGTCATCCCAAGTTAACCACACACACTTTTTTTTTTAAAAAAAAGAATGTAATTTCTGATTATAATTTTCAAGAAGTTCGATCCCTACTAGTATGAGTGAATCTGCAAGAGCATACCTGTACAAATGGCACCCAAAAATGGGTGGCATGCCTGTGCCAGTGAATGTGCAGAAACATGTTATGCAAATCGACCTATATGAGAGATACAAACCATTGATGTACGCCTACACATTTAATTAAGTATTTAAACTTGTGTGCAGCATCCACAGCTACCTTTTGGGGAACACAGCAGCAGAAACAAAGATAAGGCTTATGAGATATGCTAACAGATAATTTGATTTAGGGAGGCATGTAGCAAAAGACTTATTAAAGCCCTCTAAGACTAATGGGTTATGACATTTTTAATTAAGACAGGGGTTACCTGCAGAAAATGACAATAATCCCTGTGATTAATTTGCCTATGTCCACTTTCTTTAAACCTGTGTGTTTCTATAGATGATGATTCTGTAAGCTCTACCTCAGAAGACAGATCATGTACGCCGCTAGCAAAACAGATAGTTGGGACAGGTGAGTATTGATTTCCATGCCTTTACTCTGAAACAAAGTCGCATTGTAATTTCAGGACCAAAGCTGGATCAGTCAAATCTCTACCATAAACACTACTTTAGTTTATTTGCTTTTGTCTGTTGTCTAGTCTTTGCACTACACCCAAAGTTTAGTTTCTTATCATTATTCTCTGTCATTAGTAAAACTTGAATTAATATTTTAGTGAAGCTTTGTATTTATTGTATAAACACCATCTGCTTTCTTCTAAATATCCACATAGATGTTTTTTTCTTGTATTCAATCCCTAGAAGCATTGTCATTTGAATAATACTTCTTCTTGCCACTCTAATTTGACAAAACACTGGAAAGCCAATTTCCTACAACTGCTGATAAATTGTTGCTTTTAAAGCTTTAAACCTATTGTAGTCCTGCACATAGCACTCAGATACATCTGTCTTTAGTTTGACAACAGCAACAAAATCGAAAGAGAAAAAATGTTGAATTTTTTATGATTACCAAGGACAGGAGATTATATATATATCTTGCACTAGATCTATATATATGTAGATTATATATATATATCTTGCACTGAAATCTAGAAAGAAATGTAATCACATCTGGATATTAATATTGCAAAACTAAAAGATTTTTGCAACCAGGCAATTATTACAAATGTTAATTAATCCTTCAGCTGTCACTTAACCATTAACTACAATTACACTTCAATGTGTGTATAACTCAGCAGTATCCGGTTGCTTCATTATATTTTCAGATAATCATATCCCCTTGGAAGAAGCACAAAATCACTTTAAAGTTATCACAGTTAATGATACTGGAGCAGGAAAGCACTGGAGTGACAATGAAGTCAGAGCTCTGATAAATATATGGTCAGATGAAAAGATACAGCAAATGCTTGAAGGGGCAACAAGAAATAAAGAAATATTTGAGGAAATTGCCAGAAGGTTAATGAAATGTGGAATAGACAGAGACTGGAAACAGTGTCGCACCAAGTACAAGAACCTAAAATATGAATATCGTGCACTGCAGAAAGAAAATGAACATCTTGGTAATCCCAGGAGGAAAATGAGATTTTACGATGAAGTTGACTGTATCTTAAGAAGACAGCCTCTAGGTCCATCAGGCTGGGGATGTGAAAGTTCAAGCCTCCTGTCAGGTACTAAAAACTTCCATAATGAGATAAAGCAATTACACACAATGTTAAAAGTTGCTTGTTTGACACGTTGTTCTAGGGGTGAAGTACATGGTCATAATGAGGAGGGAAAATAACTAAAGAGCATGTATCTGGACTTGATGATCTTTGTGGGTGTTCTCCAGCTCAGGATATTCTATGATACTGTGATTATTTGATTCTGTGCACAGTCAAATAGGCAATACTCAAAGAATAGTGGTGGTTCTCTGGAGGAGTTTAGAATTAAGAAAATTACCAAAAATGTACAAACACATGAAGTATTCAATGTTACTGGAGAGTCTTTGTGCTTAGGGAATCTTAAGTGACATACAGTGAAATGGTGCTAGAAAAATATGGCAGATTTCAGAGGTGATCCAAGAGGCATGTAAAGCACTTATGGATAGAGAGCTGCAAGCTGATACCAAGTGCAAGGGCTCCAAACATACAAACTTCATTAATTCAATTCACAGCCAGGAGAGAAAAAAATCCAGGGCTGTGATACATATTTTGATACATATTTCAGCACTTATAATTATTACCTGCCTGGAGCGGAGGCAGGTGCCCCTGAGAGTCAAAGCAGTCAGGTAGATCAGATCATATAGAAGCAACTTTGCAAAGCATCTTAGAGCTCAATTAATTATGGTAAACTATGATTTTTGTCAACGTATTAGGCAATAATTTGCAATGTTGCAAATATTATTTGAGGACTTGAACCAGTTTGGTAGCAGAGGTCACAAGGACAGCTTGAGTAGAAATGGCTGAAGCCACCCTTACTTACATCCTTAAGTAAGCTGTGCTCACTCATGAATCCGAGCCCTAGTGAGGTGTCCAGTGGCACCATCTTGTAGTGCCATCACTTGTAGCTAGAATTAAGTCCACACAGTTATGAGATGACACTTTCCCAGCTCCCTTGTTCTTACTCTAAATGATATTCTTAAAGCTTTCATTTTCTTCCAAATCTAGAAAATGCAGATAGTATCACTCATTTCTAGTCTTTTTAAATAGAATTTTTCAGCACCAAAAATATTTGAGCCAAACTGGTTGCTTTATATTTTATTATGCTAGAAAAGGGTTGTGTAACCTGTGCTGTGAATACTGCTGCTGAATAAAGGAAAACAACAGCCATTCGTAAAAGATGCTTGAATTATTAGCTTTGCTAAGGCATCTGCCAAGCAAACACATGTCTCTACCTTCATTTTGTTTGCCAGTCCAGTGCCTGACTTTTCTAGGAGACTCCTATTGCTCCAAGTCACTCAGCGCAGTGCATTTGCTTTTACAGTATTAAGGCATTTTGGTTTGTGACTATGTTTTTAGAATCTCCACAAAATACTTAAGTTAACTTGCTTCTCTCTTAAGTTTCAGTGGGAGATGTTACAGCAAATGCAGGATCCTTGGGTATCAAGAGAAAAACATGGAATGATGGTAAGAGCCTCTGACTTTTTAAAGCACCTATACATTAGTGTTAATTGTAAGCCATATACTAGTTTACACTTAAGAAAAAAAACAATCCTAGAACTTAATACCAACCCCCAAACTAACATACTTCTTGTACCATCAACAATCTGTAAAAAGAAAACTTCAGATTAAAATGTGAACCAGAGGGAAAAAGTGCAATTCCTTTGAGACCTCATCCGTGATAAAAATGAGGAAAACATCAGGAAGTAATTCTTTGATTTAAAAAAATTAAATGTAAGGAAAAAAAGAATTAAAAAGAGGAAGCTGTTTTAATAACCTGTGCTGCTCAGAGGAAAATAATGATGATATCATAGTCATGGTTGTGGTTTCTTTATATTATACTGTGTAGTGAGTAAATGAGAAATTTTGTGCCTAAAACTGCACAAGAAAAAAATGATTTAAGACACCTGTTCTCAAAGCAATATGTTATAGAATTACTGAGAGAGAAAAATAAAGGGATGGACAAAAATATATGATATGCAATTTGATATAGGAAAGTAGAGGAGCTATTTTCATTCCTGCCAAAATGATCAAAAACTCCAACGATGAGGAATAAGAAAGCTAGTTTTTGGGAGGTTCCCCCTTAATGTCTGTCTGCAGGCAAATGAACACAAACAGGTCCAAACACTACAAAATTTTTGAATTCAAGCTGCTCAGTGCACTGTTACAAACTACCCCAAAAAGACTAATCTTATGTGATTAAATACACTTTCATTTATTGTCACCTAGATAATTATGTCTTGTAGAAGGCAATAGGTAAAACTAAAATTTTCAAATACATGGGAGCAACACAATGATTTTCACAAGGTCTACTTCTTTCCTACCAGTCATTATACAGTGTCCCCTTACGCAACACTAAGTAATGCTTGCCAAAAGAGGGTACTCCAAGGCCAGTATTAGGAAAACCTAACATGTGCTAAACTTCAGTCAGCATTTCATTGACTTGTGCACTCTAACTAAATACTTTGCTTTTGTCCACAGAGATGTCACCCATTCCACTTAAGAAAAGTGCTTCTGAAAACACCATATTCCAGTTTCAAAAACTATTTACAGAGAGAGTGAACACAGTAGCAGAAGGCAAAAAGTTACTATTAGAAAGGCTTTGTAAGCAGGAAGAAATGCAAGACCTCAACAGAACACAGCTGTATGCACATCCTTCAGCCATGCAACAGGTTGGTTTAATGAACTTTCTACCAAATTAGCATGCAAAAAATTCTCTCAGATGGTAAGAAGTTAAACAGACTTTTTTTGTGAGAGAAGGTCACCCACATGAGTACATGGTTGCTCCCTTTTGATTTTGTTCACTTTCAGTTATTTAAATTGAAAAAGGTATGAGTTTCAATTACAATCCTTAACAATGAGATTTTAGAAGTAGCATCAGTCTAATAAAAGATACAACTTCTCCCTGTATGCCTTAGCTCACCTACATGACACAAATAACAGGCTTAACTGAAAGCAAATAACACTGATCAAATAAAACATCTACACTTAACATTTCAACCCATCAAATATGACCATGTTAGCAAGTCAGAAATTTTTATGATAATTATACCATTCCATGAGTGCAAGGCTAACGCTGCATAAACAAATTGAAGCTGATTTGATAACTCACTGCAACAAGATTCACTCTTTATTCTTTCTGGATCCCGTATAAATCAGTTCAGTTTGCTAATACAGCCCAGATGAAAAAAAAAAAAAAGAAAAAGGAAAAAAAGAAAAAGCAAACTATATTCTGTGTAGGTAGTGAACAGAAGCAGCCCAGCAAGTTCTCAACAGTGCTAGCCCTAACTTGGAGCAGCTCAAATGTTAGATTTGTCATACTGTGTCTGTCCTCACAGAAGGGCGACGCTAGGAAGGCTGTATGACAAAGAAGACAAACTTCACTTAAAATTCTGAGTAATGCACTCTGAGGATTGCAATCCTTCCAGAGCTTTGCTATCATTCAGTACAACAACCCCGCCTGCACCCTAAATCCTTTTTTCCTCTCCCAGAAAATAAAAAATACATTTATTTTATTCATTAAAATAAGCAGATCTTTCAAGAAACAAGTATTTAAATGGTACTGTTCAGGTAAGAACTGCACAAAAGCACAGAGGCAAATGACTGTCCGAATTCTCAGCAGCTCAGAGCAGGTATTGGAGAATGCATTTGGAATCTACATATGGAAATTTTCATATCAGCACTAGAGGGTAGGCACAAAGCAAGAACGGACAGGAAAAAAAGAAAAAAAAAAGAACACATAGCTTTCTAACCAAAAGGTGTTGGTTTTTTTCCCCTCAGAAAACATGTTTGCACGTGCCATAGAGCAGGATTTATCTAACAAACAAATGTGCAAAGAAGGTGGATCTGCTTTTGTGTATTCTGCTTTGTGACTACAAAACATAGCTTATTTTCTAAAATTGTTTTAACATTCTTTATCATTCTTTTTTGCCATTCACATTTATTCTCAGTCAGTAGTGGCATGAGATCAAATGTATAGGGCCATTTGGCATCATCTAATATTTTCTTGCTACACCCACTTACTTGTTACAATTAACCTGAATATATAGGAAGATTAGACAGATAAATCCAAGTGGTGTAAGGAAAGTCCTTCTTCATTGCAGCTGTGGTTATGATTCAACATCATTTTTTGGTTAGAGACAAAATAACATGAATGTTCCACTTAGTTGTGTAGAGCTATGGTCTGTCACATTTAGACAGCATCACCGAGGGTAGTGACAATGGGCCAAATCAAGTATCACCAAAATGAAGGATTTCTCAAAAAAAGTCCCTTGAAATTAGCAATTACTTAGGCCAATATTCTCATCCTTTGAGAGTATTTTTACATCCACTTGAGCTTGTGCTGTGGCTCTGCTCTGCTTTAAACTTATAATAATCACACAATATGTAGTCTAGGCACACTTACAAGTTGAATGGAACCTGGGGTACTGACACATGCTAAATGTTAGGTGTGAGAGCACTGCAAGAAAACTGAAAGGGCTTGGGAAGTACAACTGCTTAGAATCACGCTCTTAGGAACTGCAGTATGGTTCCTGTTCAGCAGCATGGCCAGACCAAGTTGTTCACATATAACTACTCTGATAATCTAATATAAACTACTCCATAGAAATGATCCAGTTGAAAAATCAAAACCAACATCAAAGAAATGATGGGAGTAACAGCAAACCTATAAAAAAACAGAGATCTTTGCTCTTCTCCCTTCTCAAATATCCATGCTTTTGCCAGAGGACCATTCAGAATAGCATAAGGACAAATCCATTTCTTCCCCAGTTTGCAAATCACAGAATCACAGAATGGCCAGGGTTGGAATGGACCTCAAGGATCATGAGTTTCAACACCCCTGCCACATGCAGGGCCACCAACCTCCTCACTTAATACTAGACCAGGCTGCCCAGGGCTCTATCCAACCTGGCCTTGACAACCTCCAGGGATGGGACATCCACAACCTCTCTCTGTAAAGAACTCTCACCACTCTCTGTAAAGAACTTCCCCCTGACATCCAACCTAAATCTTCCCTCCCTCAACTTAAAACCATTTCCCCTTGTCCTGCTGTTATCTACCCTTTCAAGGAGTTGATTCCCCTCCTGCTTGTAGGCTCTCTTCAGGCTGCAATGAGGACACCCCACTGCCTTCTTCAAATGAGGATATTGATTTTTTTGAGGTATAGCAGATAAACATCACAATCACCTCTCTGATCTATATTAAGTGTTCAGTTCACCTCTCAAACACACTTATTCTGATATGAATGGCTCACTTTATATGCCTTTGATAGGGCTACTACATCGCAAGGAATGCCCCATTTAGATTTCCTGGTAGACCAAACTACATCTGGGACAAATGCATGGAGAATGGGCTCCACTGAGCAGAAGTACTTGCTTTCTGGGTGGATCCACAATCACCATTGTTGCTTAAAATGCGCTCTCCTCCAGACTCCCACCTTTCTTCTGCAGCAAAGTAATCTTTGTGCTGGTACAAGGACTCGTGCTCAAGCGAGTTGTCCAACCATAAATTCTAATCTGATAAAAAGCCCCTCCAAACAACTCTGTGTTGCTGGTTTTGTTGTTGTTGCTGCTGCTTTTTTTCCCCTTAAGATCAAGAACAGGAATGCAAGACATGTCAGAAAGAGCAGCCAAGATAGTCTGTTTTACCCAAACCTCCTGTGTCATGTACAAGCCTCCGTCCATGCATCAGGCTCTATTGTGAAGTATGGCAAGTCAAGCCAACCAAGAGCAATCCTGTGAAAAGAACTGGAGAGCTGTATCACACCTGCATGGATGACTTAACTGAAGACAACGAGAAGAAAAATTAACAGTTTCACTCTCACTCCATGGCTAGGTTAACGTGATGGAATTAAATTCCATTGGCCACAATGAACATAACAGCTGTTCTGAAAGATCTTCATTTAATAAACATTTCACACCACTTCCCTCCTGTTTTTCCCACTGCTTATGTTATTTCATTCCAATTGCTTACTCTACATCCAGAAATAAGACCTAAGGCTGAGCTGCATTTTGTGAAATGAGCATTAGATTTCAGTGATTTTAACTTACAACATAAACCTGCCTTCACTTTCCGGAAATCAGCATGCAGGAAGTTATACAAAAGCAGAGCAGAGCAACAGCTCACCACACCCAAAGGTCTCCATTCTCCTCTTCCTGCAGTAGTGAGGGTTGGAACATATAATTGTCCACATCTAGCAGCACAGAATGGCCTATAAACTTACACCAATCTTAACTGAAGATGAAGTGTTAGTACATCTACATGCAGTATGTGCCTCTGAAAGTACTCAGGAATGCTTAACCAGCACATGCAGCATAAATTTGCTGTAAAATATCACAAAGGGTCAAATAATTACTAGACAAATATCTTTCCCAGCATATTCCACAGGTAATGTATATAGAAATAAAAAAAACCTGGCATTTAGACAATTAAAACATTAACAATACTACTTTCACCTCTTAGGATGGAGGATGTGCTTAAGTTAAATATACTGAAGGTTAAATATACTACATAGCAAATTATAAGGATCACTACCTGTAACACATCCATGCTCCTCAGAAAATTCCCATTCAAATACTGCTGAGTCCAATTTGCTCCAGTAAGACTCACAGTGTAAGATGGGATACCAATAGCTTGCTAAAAAGCCTTTAAAAATCCATCTTGCAGTGAACAGGATGCATAGAAAAGGTAGATAATGATATTTGATATGCTATACTGATTACAGATATTAGAAAGAGTGGCTAATTGGAGGCAACAAGTAATTCCACAGGAGAGAAAATGAAGTAAAAATTCTAAACATAAAATGGTGATCGTTTTGGCAATACTGCGTGAGTTTTAATAGTGGAGAGTAAGAGGGAAGATATTAGAAAAGCATGGCTTCTTCTCCATTTACTTTCATTCTCCTAACAAATCCCATGCACAGACCCAGCTGAACTGGGATAGGCAGGATTCCCTTATTTAACCAGGCTTCCACCTGCACAGAAGAGGACTTTCAAAGACTTTGTTAAAAAATCAGTTTCGGTGTATGGCATTACTGCCAAAAATATTTCCCAGAGAATTTTGCAAAAAGTTAACAGAAATCACACTTGTTCCAAGGTTAATGTTGCAAATTTGTCCTGGTCAAGGACTTCAATGACGTTTAATAGATTTGCAACTCAAAGTACTCGTCCTCCCTCTCTCACTGCCCCCAAGAAAATCTTCTCCTTACCAATATGCTTTAACTTGACTTTGGCACGCTGTCGGTCAATTTTACAGTGACTTTGTTCTCTAGCTTACTTTTCATAAAGATGACTTAGAATACCTGTTTTTAAGTTTTCTTAGTGTTAAATCCAAAGTAACAGTTTTAACTTCAATAGCCTTAAAGTTTTGTGTTTAATGAGAATTCACTGCTAATTCACGCAGCTATAGAATGTGCCAAGATCAGATGAAAATGGCTTAAAAATGGTTTTAAGTTAAATTGGGACTGTGTTCTTAGTGCAGGGAAGGCCTTGATTAGTGTGCAAGTAGGAATACACTCAGTTTTTGTTTCAGTTCACAGTACATGACCATAAAGTAAAGCCAATAAAAAGCCATACACTGCCTTCTGCTTTAAAGAAGTGCAAATTTAAGCTCCAAATTCAGGCAGCTGTTTTTTCATTAGAGAGGAAAAACAAACAAACAAACAAACAACTTAGAAGTTGTTGCTCACGTCAATGCAATGAGATCCCAAGTCTGTCTTTCATGTTGTGCCTGCTTGTGGGCTCACTGCAGAACCCAGCTGACACATATACCTGACTTCATGCAGATGAGTTTCAGTGGTAGAAAGAGCACCATTCAAATAAATGCATTTGAACTCATGCTAAAATATTTTCCTGGAGCAATCCAGTGTACTGAGTTTTAAGTTTTCAGTTGCAAAGATCCTCACTGAAGTAAATCTCTCCAGTGTCTGACTATCTTTCTAACACTGTAAAAATCTCACCTCATTTTAGGCCACTTAGCACAAAAAGCAAAGCCCTTCACATTGCTGAAAACAACTGTATCAGGACATTAAGCACAAAGAATTCATGCCATGTGTTCTTGTGTCATGTAACAAAAACTCTACGCGTACAGATATGATTTCAAAGACCAGAAATTATAACAACTTCCCAATAGCTTTCTCTTTTTTTGTGGGTCATCTCAAGAATGCCTGAAGATCCTAATTTTTAAAATCCAAGATGAATCAAAGGACAATTTCTGACATGTATAGCACAGGAATAATCAGCAATGTAGAAGAATTGTGACTGCACCCATCTCAAGCCAGTAGTCACTACCTACACATCCCCACTAATTTCAATGTGAGGCCTGAAGACTATATGTTCCATTGGACAATGAAAGCTCTGTTAGTTGCTGAGGGCATGGTCAGGACCATCCATTAATATTTACTGCATCCCTTTCATATTTAACCCCCTCAAAAGGAATATGGCTAAGAGACACTTCTTAGCTTTTCAGTTTAAAAGAACAGTCTTAACAGATTTTACCAATGCAGTATATACTATATATATTTGATTCTTGGTTTTCAAGAAGTGTTCCAAAAAGAAGTAAGAACAAATTTGGTACCCTATTATCTCTGGAAAGGGGATGGAACCTTTCACTACACCTCACAGCAGAATGCTAAGGAGAAATACAGAGAGAATGGACAGAAATGGTAAAGAAGGAAAGGGGAAAGTTAGCATCTCAGCTATACAACACTTCTATTGACTGCTTGCAAACGTGTAACAAGTTACATGGACTTTCACTTTACAGTGAAAATAAGCAAGTTTCCTTTTACATATGCATCAAAATTTATGTCTCCAAGAAAGCAGCCTTTAAAATCTTTTACTTATATTGAGCTAAGATCAGAATCAGAGGCAGGGTTCGTATGCCTTTATTCTGTAGTTTTGTATAACTTGCAAACTGCTTACAGCTTCAGCCACAATATTAGTATTACTATCATATAAGATGCCACAGGAGATGTTTGATATTAAAGAGCTCATGGAAATCAAATAGAGCTGTCAAGTATCCATTAGAAAAAGAGAGGAAAAAAACTATTTTTTGAAAATTGTGAAACAAGGTTGCAGCAAACATTGAGAGAGTACGTTGCAAAGTGACGAAAATACATCGTTTTATTTCCAACTAAGAAACTTCATCCATGTCCAGCAGTGTGACTATAAGCATAAATGAACTAGGATGCTTTTCCAGGCTCTTTACAGAAAAATGGCTCAACCAAAAATGAGGCCACTGATCACATGGCTTCATTCCTTGCATTCTGTAGCTTTATCATTCCCAATAAAAATGATTTTGATGGACACTGACAAACATGTATAGTTCACAAATGATACACCTGCAACCCAAAGAAGACTGTTAGGATGTAATTGTGATGTAGGGGTGCAGCATTTTACCTGTAATGTATATGAGACTCAGATCTAACAGAAAAACTGATTGTGTTTTCTACTGTTGATCCAAACCAAATTCGGAGCAACCCTTACATGTTTGTGACCTCAAAAATGTAGAGAACAAATTTGTGCATGTGTACTTAGAGCAGCACGCCTTCCCGAGTTGCCATGCATGTGAATGTTGCCTACCGTCCATCAAGAGGAAGTTAAGCAATATTGTGCAGGTGTTCGCAGGCCAGCAGCCAGACGCAGCATGTGCGTGTGAGCCTGTGCGGGTGCTCCCACGAGGAGGTCGCACTTTCCACAATGAATCGCAGCGAAGCAGCTTCCTTTACACAGCCATATGTCTCTCAGGTAGACGGCGAGTTTTTTTTTTATTATTATGATACATCTGAACGGTTACGCCTAAGAGGAGCTTGAAACTCCTCGAGAACCGTTCTGTTTCTGTAGATTCAGGTCGGCGGGACTGCATTTAGGCACGAGCATCTCGCACAATGCCGGGCATGGCATGGCAGAGCAGGGAGTCGCTAAGGCAGCCGCGGGGCGGCCGTGCCGGGCGCATCCCTGCCGCCTTCCCGCGCGGCCCAGGGTCGGGAGGAGCGCAAAGCCGGTCCGGGGCGATGCCGCTTCCGAAGCGTGCCCGGGAGCAGTTCCGAGGCCCAGGGAGGCTGCCCGGACGGTGCGGGATCGGGCCGGGCCGGACAGGCCCCCTGCCGCACAGTTCCCTCCTCCGCCGTCGGCAGGACGGCCCGGCCCAGTGCCCGGCCCCGCGCTAACTTCCCCCCTCAGGGTGCGCCGTCCGAGCGGCCGCGTCCCCCTTACCTGTGCTGCAGCCCCACCAGCCCCAGCGTGATCACATGGGGCACGTCCAGTTCGGTGGGCCACACGCCGGAGGCGATGCAGCCGAACACGCCGCATTCTTCGCGGATGCCCAGCTCCTCCAGCTCCATGGCGGCACGTGGCGGCGGGGCTCGGCCCGGCCCGCTCCGGCGGATCCCTCCCGCGCGCTCCTACGGACGCCGCGCGCAGCCAACAGCGCCGCGCCGCGCGGAGCCGCGGGTACCCTGCCGGGCGGCCTCCTCATTTACATGCGTGGGGGGCCTCCGGCCTCGCTCCCCGCCCGGCCCCCTCTCCGCTCTCCACCCCTCGCCCCGCCGCCGACACGGCGGGGAGCCGGCATTGGCCGAGGCGTGGGACGGGGCAGCGCTCGCTCGGGGGTGGGGATGGAGGGGCGCGGGTCGGCCCCGCCGCGTTGGGCGGCGATTGGCGCGCGGGCTTCGCCGCCCCGCCTGCCCGCCCCTTCCGCCGGGCCCTTCTTACTCCCGCGGCGGGTCGGCCGCGTGTGCTCAGCTCTTCTCCTGTGCCCTAGGTGCCCGTCGCCGCCGCAGTCATCGCCATGGCCCCCGCCGCTTCAGGTAACGCGCACCGTTGGTGCCGATGGGGTGGCGGTCGCGGGGAGGAGGGCGTGGGAGCGGGAGTCGGAACCGCGTTGCCGCGCTCCCCGTTGGGCCGTCTGCAGAAAAGTTTCTCTTTGCGACGCCGTCTTCTAACCGTTTCTCGTTCCCTCGCCCCGGAGGTGGAGGTGCCGCTATCCGCGTCCCGGAGGAGCGGAGGCGGAGCGTGGGGCGGTGAGTCCCGCGGTCCCGGAGCCGAAAAGCTCCGCGCCTCGCTGCCGTCGCGGTCGGAGCGCCGCGGGGCGTGTCGCTCAGCTGCGCTTCTGGGCTTCGGAGTCTGGAAAACGGTGAAAAAGTTGTGAAAGGGGCTCCCGCCGTACCAAGCCCTCCAGGCAGCGGCCGCAGCCCCGGGCTGCGTGTGGAGATGGCGCTGGGGCTGGTTGCGCCTCGCACGCGAGCTGACGTACGCGACCAAAACTCGCATCTAAAATGCTCTTAATTTTACTTTTTCTCTAGAACTGAAGCTTGGTAAAAAAGTTAATGAAGGTAAAACGAAAGAAGTGTATGAGCTGCCAGATATCCCGGGATGCGTTCTGATGCAGTCCAAGGACCAAATAACGGCGGGGAATGCCGCCAGGAAGGACCGGATGGAGGGGAAGGCTGCCATCTCCAACACCACCACCAGCTGCGTGTTCCAGCTGCTGCAGGAAGCAGGTTTGTATTGCAGAGGTGGAATTAATGCCTGCATGCTGCACGTGTTGTTACTTAACACCGCCGATTCCATGCTCCTCCTTAGCCTCCCTGAAGGCTCTGATATGTTTTGTTCAGACTTAATTTTCAGTTCACCTTTTGTCTCTGACACTACAGAGCTGGGTGGGTGGCCCAGTCATTTGGAACATGAGAGTATCTGGCATAATCTTCTGACCACATGGTAGAGGTTCTACCCTAGTCTGAATGTAGCCCTGGACCTCCCTTTTGCTGCTCAGTCCCAGCTGATGTAAAAACTGTATGATCTATTATAATAAGTAATAAATTTTAGTCAGTCGGCAAAGTCATAGCTAGTGTGTTCCATGTGTGAGAAAGAGAAAGAAGGCCTCTGTAGAATTACATTTACTTCTGTACAAGTAGTTCTTAAAGCATTAGCAGATACTGAGGTCTTCTGCAGATTGGTGAAGAGGAGTGCATGATTGGGTCATTCGGTATAACCTCCAGCTGCTGGCTTCCCTGGGAAGCCTGTTGTTTATGCGCGAGTTAAATACGTTGCCTAAGTTTGTATGGCCAGTAATTAACCTAATAATTTAAATATCCAATAGCCTATGGGTATAGTATGAGTTTTAAATGCTGAGAAGGTGCCTCAAAGATTTTTAAGTGGCTTTTATTTGGTAGCTTCTGGCACTATAGAGTAAATTCCGATTGCATTTTAAAGCAACAAAATAATTTCCAGGATTCTTTCTATTCTGGTTTGATTATTTGAGGGCATAAATTGCAGATAACGTGAATGTCTTATTGTAGAAGTTTGTTTGCTTTTCGCAACTCTTCTGAACCTTAACTTCTTCAAAGGTGGTAGTTCAACAAATTCTGTTAAAGTTTTCCTTTCCTTTATAATGGAACTAGTGTGAGCCTTTGAAAAGCACATATACAAGGGGGGGAAAAAAAAGCCCTTTTCTTAGGCTTAAAATACCCTAAATAGATTTACTTCATCCTTTAAGTACAATGAAGTGCAAGATTTTGTTGTGCTTAGACTTAGTTCCTTGTGACTCTTGATTCAACTGTGGAGTTTGCCTACTAATGAAACTAAGCTGCCATCCTTCTATTTAGGAATCAAAACAGCTTTTGTCAGGAAACAGAGTGACACCGCTTTCATAGCAGCTCACTGTGAAATGATCCCAATTGAATGGGTCTGCAGAAGGATTGCTACTGGCTCTTTCCTCAAAAGAAACCCTGGTGTCAAAGAAGGCTATAAGTTTTACCCACCTAAAATTGAGATGTTTTACAAGGTAAGTTGCTCTCTTGTGGTGAGAATCAAACTTAAAGATAAAACTCTAGTATGTTATTAAAAATGCTAATGGATAAGAGGTTGCACTGACTGACCTCCTTTTAAGGAGTAACTAGTTCAGGTATTCTGATGTTTTCATGTGTTCTCATCGATACAATACTGGCTCACAAAGCCATCAAAGAATAACAAGCCAAATTATATAAAGTAGGTAACTCAAAGTGCTTTTGAAAATGCTGAATGGTAAAGAGTATGTTTAAGTTTTTTTTAAAGCAATAACGTTATTTTCTAATGGCTAATTTTCCCTTATAGCAACTGAACTTGCGTGCTTTATGTTTGGTTCCTTAACAGGATGATGCTAATAATGATCCACAGTGGTCTGAGGAGCAGCTAATTGAAGCAAAATTCTCTTTTGCTGGACTTACTATTGGCAAGACTGAAGTAGATATTATGGCTCGTTCTACTCAAGCTATTTTTGAGATCCTGGAAAAATCATGGCAGCCACAAAACTGCACTCTGGTGGACCTGAAGGTATGAAAATCTGATTTCCCATGATCCTAATTTTGACAGGAAAATATATTGCTATAGTTCCTTACAGAAGCTTCTTATTGTCTTTATAGATTGAATTTGGTGTTAATATTTTGACCAAAGAAATTGTTCTTGCTGATGTTATTGATAATGATTCATGGAGACTGTGGCCATCAGGAGACAGAAGCCAGCAGAAGGACAAACAGGTAACATGTTGGTCTTTAAATTTTAAGTCAGTGGGAAAGGAGAAGGATTAAGAAAAATTCCACCCGTTAGTTAAGCATCTGTTTCTGTTTTCTTTAAATAGTGGGGGAGAGTAGGGAAGCAGGGGTGTTACTTCACTGTCATCAAACTTAAAGCAGTTCTGCTGTCTGATTTATTGTATTACTGAATGAATCATGTAGTGGCATCCTCAAGTGAAATTGCTCTGAATGTACTTTTATTCATCTTCCTAAAATAAGGTGCATGGTAACATCATGCAGAACCTTGGTTGGCTAGTGCAGTGCTGTTGCAGGCAATCAAATCACTGCAAATTCCAACTTCAAATTGGTTGTTTCCCTAAGCTTACCCACCCAGAAGCTATTGAAACCTTGATAGCCCTGTGGCAAAAAGCTTTCCATGTTACAAGTGGCCATGAATTCTAATGTAGTTTGGTTTTTGTTTTTTTTTTTTCCTTGCTTCCATATCCATGTTTAAAAGAAGTAATCACATCCACTCAAACTCTTATTTTCGTAGAATTAAAGACTTTGCTCTTTCCATTTCCTTTTCTACGTAAAGAAAAAAAGACTCACTTTAGAATCTCTCCTGTAACTGTACCAGTGTCAGCTCATCTTCTTTCCTTGAAATGGCATAAATGCCTCAGTTGGGGGTATTTGTACCAATGGTGGTAGCAAAGAGAATTGCTTTGTGCACCTGAAGCAAAAGATCAGCTTTAACTCTTCCTTTTGTTTTTTGTGGGCTTTTTTTTTTTTTTTTTTTTTTTTTTCCTTTTCAGTCCTATCGAGACCTGAAGGAAGTGACTCCTGAAGCACTGCAGATGGTTAAGAGAAACTTTGAGTGGGTTGCAGAAAGAGTAGAGGTATTTCCTGCTGGCTTTTTTCTTCTAATGAACAGTGTATGTGGTCTTTGATAACTGTCTTCAGTCTCTTGACTGTTTTTTTTTGTTGTTTTTTTTCCCCTTCTTCCTTCTGTCTTCTCCCTTAATTCTTTCTTGTAGCTGCTTCTGAAAACGAAGAGCCAAGGTAGAGTTGTGGTATTGATGGGATCTACTTCTGACCTTGGCCACTGTGAGAAAATAAAGAAGGCATGTGCAACCTTTGGAATTCCTTGTGAGTTAAGAGTAACCTCTGCTCACAAAGGGCCGGATGAAACTCTGAGAATCAAAGCAGAATATGAAGGTAGGTATCAAAGAACTAATGGATGAGAATGAGCAGTATCATGTACAGAAATGACTTGTCAACTTAAGTATCTCTGTAGGCTTTTTCCAGAATTTTTTTGCTTGTTGAACACAGCAATAGCTGTTACAGTGCAGCTCTACTCTTGTTAATTACATGATAGATAGTAGATTGCACTAAGCAATTACAAAGTAACATATTGTCTCAGAGCTTCCATTATTCAAGAGCTTGAACTCTGATCATATCTCACTACTGAACTTCTTTGCCCAAGCCTTGATTGTGCTAATACCTGCATCAGTAGGAAGATACTGCAGTAAATGTATTTCTGAAACAGGGAAGAATGGTGGTTTCCTCTAGCTGACTATAAATGTTCTTTGCTTACCTACAACACAGATGATGTTGCCATCATCCTACCCGTTTGTTGAAAACGTTCAATCATTTTCTTATGCAATGAGAAAAATACTTTATTTTAATTCAGATTTTTACTAAGAAAACTTGACTTTTCTTTGAAATGGTTTATAGGCTAGCAGAGAAGAGATAAAAATTAACTTGTAGGAATATTCCTTACACAGGAAAAAAATTAGCATTTGGTGACAGGAGGAAGCAGTTACATTGGATCAAAAGTACAAACGTGGTAATCACAGCTGAGATTCACTTATTTTGCGATGAATTAAGACTATAGGAAAAAAACCTATAGTTTAACACTTCAGCCAGAACTTAGCTGACTAAATCCCTCATTTTTAAATGTTGCTCTTTCCAAAAGCAAAGCAGCACCCCTTCCTCTGATACTTTCTCTCAAGCAGAGGCAGAGTAAGTCATGCTAACTTGTTCAGTTATGGTAAATAGTATCTGGGTTTTAAGGCTGTAAGATCAGTTGTTTCTGCGAAGGGGAAAATTCAACATAAATTCTAGTGCTGTGTAACGGAATGAAATAAATTAACTGCAAACTGAAGAACTGTATACTCAGATAAAACTCCAGGAAAAAAAAGTGGGAGGAAGCAAGATGGACTGCCCTGCATGTGGCAAGGGGTTGGATATTGATCCTTGAGGTCCCTTCCAACCCTGGCCATTCTGTGTGATTCTGTGTGACTGCCTATTTTTTTTTTATTTTTTTTTTTCCCCTTTCCCCTGCAAGGAGATGGAATCCCAACTGTGTTTGTTGCAGTAGCTGGCAGAAGCAATGGTTTAGGACCAGTAATGTCTGGTAACACTGCTTATCCTGTTGTCAACTGTCCCCCCCTCTCATCTGACTGGGGTGCTCAGGATGTGTGGTCTTCTCTCAGACTGCCCAGTGGTAAGATGATCTTCAGCATGTGCAATTGTACAGACCTAGCTATAGTTCTTTTATCATAAACATGTACGTGCACTGTTTGAAACAGTGGTTTGATCAGTACTGAACAGTCTCTAGAAATCTTCTGCATGCAGTCTTTGGGCTTTTTGCAGCTGGGAAGTCAAAGAGATTATGTACAAATACTCATTAGAAAGATATGATCCTTTGCTTATCCTTGCTAAATATACGAGTTTGAAAGAGGAGTTAGTAACAATAGGAAGCTGTTGTTTCTGCTTATAGTACTCCATTTTTCTTCAGTAAATTTACTGTGATGAAAGATGGAATAATTTCTTTCTCTACAATGAGCTTGACTCTTCTACAGCAGTGTATTGCTACCATATGAATTCTGATCAGTTAGTGACTAGAACAGGTATTTGGCAACTTACAGGCCCAGCAGCCTGTTAACCTCTTTCCTCATAAACTTAGTGCTATGCTGGCTTTGCATTTCAAATGCCATGGTGAGAGAAGTATTGAGACGTTTGACACTTCAGTAGCTTTAAAACTAAATCACATGCCTCTTGAGGGCTGAAACAAGCACTGTCTTAAACAGTCATTTAGAGGCAACGTTTTGCTTGTGCTTATAAAATGTGTTTTTTGAAAGTAGCATTCTGCTTTCTTTGCAGGTCTTGGCTGTCCTACTACTTTGTCACCTGAAGGAGCTGCTCAGTTTGCTGCTCAGATTTTTGGGTTAAACAACCACTTGGTATGGGCCAAACTGCGATCAAACATGTTAAATACATGGATCTCCTTGAAACAGGCTGACAAAAAATTGCGGGAGTGCACCTTGTAAGTCCAACAAGTAATTACTCCTAGCTAGGCAAAGCTAAGGGTGTGCACATGCATTTGCATCAGGATTTGCAGTTGTATGATGTGAGAAATCTTTTCATACAGAAGGAAGCATCTTTAGGGCAGCAGATAAGTTTGCTGTGTCCTCATCCATCTTATGTATTTTATTTTTTTTTTTTTTTAGTATAACCACTTAGTAAAAGATGAGAATATTTTAGACATCTTTCTGTTGTTGCAAAATAGTGCTGTTCTGCTCTTTAGTCTATACTGTTAACTACTGATGATGGTTTTGTCAACATAATTTGTGTGATTTAAATAGAAATCCATTTTTTTTTTTCTGTAAAAGTAACATTTTTACATAGTAATAATGTATGTCCTGAAGCTTATTAACTCAATGGGACTGCTAACTAAATCTAGTGCTGATACTGTTCTGCTTGTAATAATGGTATGCTTTCTTTTAGCAATAAAATGGCAACATGCTGTATTAATAAGAAAATAGGCTAAGAATGAGTAAGAGCCTGAAAGAAATAATTGCCTTATTTAAAAAAACATATTTTTTCATGTGTACATGTGTGTATGTATATACACCCCATCAATAACTATTACATAACTTCTCAAATTAACAGTTCTCTTGTTTGTGACAAACTCTAATTTTGAATGGAACCATAACTAGGCTTGTTGCCTACTTGCTGTATAACTCTTGACTAGTCCAGTCTTTGCCCTTCAAATATTAGGCAGATCTACTGTGGATGTATGTGATGCTGTCAAATTATCCTCATACACATCAGTGTATCTATATTCCCTCATTCTGTTTCCATGGGAGATATACTGAACTGAAGGTGGGAACAAATAGTAAAGCAACAAAATACCAGGGGCAAGCCTAAGCATGACTGTCTTGTCTTTGCACATAACATTCTTCAAAATAGGTACTGATTCCAAGAAATATGCAATTACTCAATGTACAACTTATGCTTTTATAATTAAATAAACTATTTAATTCAAAGTTGCCTTGTGGAGACTTGATAAGATATACAATAAGTCATTAGCTCTTAAGGTACAGTAAACACTTGTAAAAGAACCTTATGTATTAAACCAGCATAAAGTAGTAGATAATGTTGCTTACTGTTAGAAGAAGCCCTGTTGCTTTTTCATAAAGTATAGTTTTACTAGTGTGTAGCTCACATTTACTTAATGGGGGTAAACTGGATTGATTTCTGCTGTTCTTGGCCTTCACATGACGGACCACATCTTCTATGTAGCTATAGCAGAGCTCCAAATAGTGCTGTCTTTCAGAGTTGAGTGCAGCCTTCTTAAATTGATCAAAGCCTACACTGAAGCAAAACAACTCTACCGCTTTGTGTAGTTTTGAGGGGAATGTGCTTTTTTTTTTTTTTTTTTTTTTTTAAACAACTTAAAGCTAGTTAGTGACAAGAAGGTTGAAATTTCATGGTAAAATATCTTTGCAATAAAAACTAGTAGTGGGGCTATGCTCTGTGTAGTGTCTCATTTCTTATATCAAATCACTTTCACCCTGATTATACTAACTTCGTTTGTCAACACTGACAACCTGTGTTAGGCATGAGCATGTTAAGTGTTTTAGTTGCCATGGAGAAGGTCATTCTTCAGTTTTTGAGTGTTTTTCCTTTCTTGCAGTCTGTACTAAATCCTCAAAAGTGAGGCCCCGTTTGTGAAGTTGCCTTGCAAAAAGTATTCACTGTAGTTAGCACTGATGATGTATTGCTGAAAGCAGCAGAGAAAACCTGCACTGTCAGTTGCTGATATTAAGATTGCACTAGAATGGGGCAAATCAACTGTTTAATATAAAATTCTTCCTAAAGTTCTTGCTATGAAAGGCAAGCACTTCCCATTGGTTAAAAACAAACAAAAACCCAACACCTTAAGTGCTTGTATCGTTGTAAAACAAATAAAAACCCTATAATGGAGAGGTTACTCAAGTTTATTTGCATTTTTCAAGTTGGAATACCCGCAGTAAAAATCTGTGAAACTTCAGACTCTCCATGAGATCATGTCATCTTCAGCAGTTACCTGTTCTACTGGAGTAACTCTTAAAAGGTAGCAGCAAGCAGAGGGAAATACTGACAGCAGGACTTGTATTACAACCTCGGCTGCTGCAGGTACAGGTAAGTGGTCCTTAGTCTTTAATAACAAATTCACTTCCAAAAATACCCCCAAGCCCCACTCTGTAAAAACATTCAAAGGGAAAAAAGGCAATGATAAGTAGCATCTGAATATAGATAGAATTGTAAGGAATAAGTTGATGTGCTTGGAGCAGTAACCTTGCTTTTATGGGTATGGCATAAAGGCATGCTGTTTTTTTATACTTTTTTTCCCTCCTGAAAGCTACTTGAGCAATTAATTCCCAAAGAAAAACTACATCTGTTCCCTCAATAGAGGGAGAGCACATAGATGATTGATTTACAAAAACAAACCCTACATATAAAGCCCCTGCATAGTTCAAGTGCCCCTAGAACTGAGTTGCAGTCCCAGCTCCATATTTCATCTCAAATTTAAGTACTTGCAGGATTATGTAATTGTTGCATAATCTGACAGAGACCTGAAGCCTTTGGGCATGGTTTTAGTAGCTAAGTTTCCCTACCACTTAAGCATCTGCTGTTGTGCTTGTGCAGAAGCATTTTAGGTCTTTACAGGGCAGAACAAATAAGCTTGCTCATTTAAGGCATATCAGGATATACAAAATCACTACTACAGACAAGTTATCAAAGCATACCTATCCATTCAAAATATGAGACACATTTTATATGTCACAACAGTCACCTGGGTTATAAGCAAATAAATCCCTTCTCTACTGGGTAGAAAAAAGTTCAGCTTCATCCTATCTTAGAAGGGTACTTTATGACAAGCATTTGGGAGACCTACACTAAAGAAAGATGTCTGTTTCCTCTTCTAGCACTGTTTCTATTTGTTTCTTTAAAAACTGCAATGGAGGTTGAACATCACAGTGCTGTGGCTACCAGTAGAGCTTTGGGTTTCTTCAGCCATGTAGCAGGCCTTGGCCTTCTCTTTTATTATCTTACTTCTGTATCTGTTTCTGTATGAAAACGATTAGGACTTGGAAATATGTTGAGTTTTCTGAAACAATTAATTCCAGAAACAACACATTTCTCTCTCCCTCTCTTCTGATAACAGATGTCATCAACAGCAGGAGGATACCTGAGAGAAAAATAATACAGCAAAACTGCTGCCAAAAGTTCAACAAGTGCTTGAGAGTATCAAGCACCAGGTTTGAGTCTTTTCAAGGATCAAGTCTTAAACAGAAAGGAAGAGGTTGGCATTTATGGGAACTTGGAGCTTCTAAAAATTCCAGAATTTCAACCAACAGAGGGCAGCAGGTTGGAACATTTGCTAAGTATACAACAGAGAATGGACTATGGTAACCCCAACAAGTACACCTAACAAAATGCTGTCTGATGAAAGGAAGATGGAAAAAAGGGAAACCAAAACTTACAACACTGTCAAGGGAAAAGCCATTTTGCCAAGCCCACTGTATAGCTCTGTGTTAAGAAAAATGTCTTCCTAGCTGACAGATTAGGAAGTTTTGAATACAAGGAGCCAACTCTCACAAAACAAAAAAGTTTTTCGAGATGCCAAGTTCCAAAGTTCTATTTGGATTTAACAAATTGTGACTGTATTTGCCTTAATATAGCACAGATCCCTGTCCTGAATTCTCCCTTACATCATTTCATTTTTAACTCATCTAAACATCTAGCAAATGGCTACCTTCCTAGTTACTGCAAGTTCATTTTCAGCCTTTATATATATATAAATATATATATAAAACACAAAACATTCTTTCATCTTAACAAAACACAAGTTGTCAACTGGAAGTATGAAGTCATCTTCATTAACTTTTTCCTGTCTGTCCTATCTAGACATGCCTATTGTGTTATGGCAAGCTCTCTGACTGCACTTGAACTACATCACTTGTGATTATCACTGATGTAATTGTTTTTTCAAATTCACAGTGCTATCATTTTGTTGGCCTTTATTTGTGAAAGCAGCTACTGTCAGCAGCAGCTGGGAAAGTACACCTTCAACAAAAATCAAGGTTCAAATCTCACTGGATACTTTGCTTTGGTGAAGGCTTTAGAACAAGTTACATCCTAGCACTGAACATTTTGCATTTTTTTTTTTTCCTTTTCCTTCCCAGTTGAGAATAACACTTTTTAAATAAGAGAGCTATGGAGAGATTTCAGCACAGATCCAATGATCCTCAAAAACATAGCTCCTATCTATTCACTTGCTGGAACAGCCTCTCATGCTTTCAAGATGGAGCAAAAAATATCAAATAAGGACAAGCTTATTGCTTGCTGCAAAACACTACACACAAAGTGCAAGATTGTACATACCTTTAAGATATACACTGAAAGGTCTATGCCAATTTTCAGTCCATCTTGCTTGCCTGTTCCATTCTAACTGCAAAGTGACAAAGTCTGATCCACAAACACCTGAGGCCTCAAAAATCTTTCCTCTCTGTTCTCAATTTCTTATCATTTACAATGGCAACCATGGTGATGATGTTTGTGGAACAGCAATTAGACAGTAATACTCAAAAGTCTTAATGCAGTACATATTGATCTACATATAACTTCATTTTTTTTTTTTTGTTTCTATTTCTTCAAATTTTCTCTTATGTTTTTCCCAATCCCAGAGGTAGAACTTACACAAGCACAGGACAGTGCCAGCCAACTGACACTTCCTTATCTGCTCTTGGCAGAATTTTTATTTCATTAAAAACTCAGGGGAATTAATAAGAACATCTGGAAACCACGTCTTCTGTCAGGTTTGGGAACACACTGTTTGAAAACTAAGGCTCTCTGCATGAAAAAAACAACAACAAAACCAAAACCCATAAATCTACCACTAGATTTTCGTGGAAAAAAAAAAAAAAAAATTAAAAAAAATCACCTGCATTCCTAAGGAGATCATGTTAATACAAAAATTGAGCATCTAAGGTTGTTAAGATACCAAACCATAGGAATAGAAGATCCTCCTTCCATTAATGTAAATAAACCTTTCCCAAATATTAACCCGAACTTAACCTGGATTGAAACCCATGTTACAACTAAATTCAGCAGATTCTTAGTTGCCTGTGGTATCTCAAACCTTAAACACCAGAAGAGAACAAAGCAAAACACCTGGTTAGCAAACTTGTGAAATGTTGTTCTGCAAGAACATTACTTTCAAATTCTGTGAAAAGAAAACTTTATACTTCAAGTTACCTTGAGTAGATACAACAGTACATCAGAAAGACCCCAGCAACAAACTCGACTGACCAATGATCAGTAAGAGGTACTGTAAGCAGAAATACATGCTACTTAATATCATGAAGTGCCCACAACCCTAAGTTGAACAGCTGCTCCTGGCAGCTGTACCTGGCAGAAGTTTCTCAACAGAAGGATATGGAAAATGAAAGTTAGTTTTAGTTTCTGATAAAGTTAAAATATTACAAACTTTTAGCTTTTATTGAAAATTAAATATATTAGCAAAAGCAAGATTTAAGAAATATTTTACAAATCATTTACATACAAGAAAGCCAGTATCAGACATATTCACAAATATGCAAACCTTTAATTACAAAAAGTACTTAATGGCAGCATGATGCTTACCTTGCCACTGCAGTGTGCTCTACTATTGATATAAGGCATAGAACTCACATTTGCACCAACTTAAAGAGTTCAAATAAAACTTTAAGCTTTTAAATCCTGGATGCACAATCCCAAATACACACACACGCACACTCTAAGACCTCTCCTTAAAAGCTCTATAAACTAAGTGTGTGCTCTGGAAGAACAGCCAGCCTGAAAAGCCCAGTAGAAATGTAACTGGTACTAGAGTTTAGTTTTCAGTTTTCTCTTTAACATGTACAGGCCTAGGTATGTAAACCATATTCACAGTTTAATTATTTTTAGACAGAAGTACCTTTTTTTTTTTTTTTTTTTTTTTTTTTTTTTGCATTTGATCCTTAAAATTGGCTCTCAGTTCAGCATACAGTTCGTAATGTCACCTGTTTTGTGATGCATACATTTACAAGATAACTTAAAAATCTGTGCCATATTCATGGTCAAGATAATTCAACAAGAAAAGTAATATCCAACAGTGATATTCAACACTATATTTCAAATATTTGTGCAAACAGCAAAAGAACAGTTGTATGAGGCAAACTTATTTGCAAAACCTTTAATACCTGTTCTATGTTGTAAACTCAGACTGTCAGCCTTGTCCTGCGCTTCCCACATCTTTAAAAAGTCAGTGGCTAAAATTATCAAGTCTCAAAAACGTTCTCTTCTACATAGTGCAAATTGTAAAACAGATCATGTGAAAAACATATCTAGCTGGATTGACTTTGTGCAATCATCAGTGGTCTTCTCTCATAGTTGAAGAAAGTGTGCATTCAAAGAACCATATGGTTCAAGAAGCTGGGCAGGCGGGAAGGAGAGAGAAAAAGCAGTTCTGTTACACTTCTCAAACCAGTGCTAGATGTGCAAAGGCAGCAAAAATTCCAGCTGCTACTACAACCAGAACAGATTTACTTTTTAGGAAGACCCAGGCGGTTAGTCACTTGGACTGGTCCCTAGAAAAATATGTAAGTATATGTTGGATTTTTATCAGACGGTCTTTTAAAGACATCATAGACAGAACTGACAGCTGGTATCTGGGGTCTACTGGGAGAACAGCTAGAAGCCACCAACACCAAGCAGGACCATTGGGCATTGCCTAAAAATAAGAGAAATGTCAGTTACTTATGAACAATGCTGACCAACACAATGAAGACATCAAAAGACAAACGAGTCAAAAACAAGCACTGGTTTGATCTGTAAGATCAAGAGGGTTCCGAATTAATCTATTCTGATTGCTCTTCACCACAGAAGTCTATAAATAAAGTGCACTTATGTTTGATAAAGCAATCATTTTCAAGACAACACAGGCATCTCAGTTTCCTTAGGAAAGGATGGCTAAGTATAGGATAGTCACCTAATAAACATTCCTGATGCAAACTAACATGATATCTGTCACATTACTCTTCAGGTTTGAATATTCTTGATGCCTAACATAGATTACATAGATTTATCTGTTGCTGTATGTGAAGGACTCCTCTATTACTACTACTCCATTCCACTCACACTTCATTATATTCTAGACAGAGCAGGACTGCTTAGCTTGTTTCTTCTAATTTTATAAAACACACTTTCTAGCTTTTCCCTATACTTTATTCAATTCCCTACACAGAGCCTGAGACATCATGCCCAGAACACAATACTTCTCAGTGGATGATGTATCACTGCAGAGCAGACTTACCTCAGTTACCTCACATACTTGCAAAAACAGTCTTGGCAGTGGTACACTCCTGAATGAAATTTCCTCCCTTTCATCTTTATCACACAGTTGACACTTAATGTTCTAAGTCCCAGACATATACCTTCAGTCTTGCTGCCCGGCTAGTTACTTTGTTTGTGTGCAATTACTCCTCTTTGCTAATATATGTTGTTTTAAACCAGTCTTTAATAAAAATGTTCTAAAAGCATTTCTGAAATGATACACTGGCCTCCAAAGTATTTACAGTCTTCCAAAATCAGTAGATATGGTCTCATAAAAATATATGTAGCAGATAGGAGATGACTTTTTCCAGCCTCCCATTTTTTGAGGATCTCTCTGATCTTCATCAATTGTTTACAACAACCACTGAAATAGATGGCTGAAGCTAGTTCCTTAAAGTTAACATAGAATTTGCCAAATCCTAACATCTGCAGCAATTTACAGCACTAGCTCAGAAAGGACGAAAGTGTCATTTGTGATTACCTCTGTCCCAGTTTACTACCTATACACATCACAGGAAAGAAAATACTAAAACATTCCCTATTTTTCTCCATTTGTACTTTAATAGCTTTACACAAGCCAAACATTTCTATAACTGAAAGTGTAATCAGTACACTATATATAAAATACCATATCATCCTTTATTGCAGAAAAAAATTGCCAATTGTCTTTTGCTGCTCTCCATAAGAGAAGCAAGATGAAGTCCTGCTTCCTTTAAACTTGAGAAAAAAAGTATTTTCCTTTTAATGTTTAGCAGCTTTTTAACAACTGGATTTTGGTTTTCCTCACCTACCTTCCCCCAGTAAAAAAAACAGGCACCCAAGATTTGATATGAAATGATGTCTCACCTGTATATTTTCCTCCCTGTCAGGCATTGGCCCGAAGTGCTGAAGAATTTGAGTGCGGAATTTGTTTCTTAAGTTTTGGAACCAACTGCAAGCCTGACTGTAAACAAAGTTGTGAAGCTCTCTCAGTTTCTTCAGCTCTCCTTCATCAACAACCTAGCAGAAGAACATTATGAAAACACCATTACAGATGAAGAAAATTGCCACAGTTTTTAAGATAACATAACTAAATAGAGTTGAAATTAAACGTCTTTTTAAAGTTTTTGCACTCTCCTAAGCCATGGTTGCTACTGGCTGAATTGCAAAGAAATCCTCTGATACTTAAGAAGAATTACAGCTTCACAAACTATTGTTCAAATAAAAAGCAAAATATTTCCTTCTTATTTAATAATAATAAAAAAAGCTATTTTCTCTGTCTTCCTTATACTGACATTGAATCCTCCACAGTTCAGTGGACCTAAAAATTTGACAGAGCCCTCAAAACAAATCAAGGAAAACTCTTAAGATATCAGCTAAAAGTAGAAGTACTTGGACAGCATTCTGAATACCTTAACATCTTCCAAATACTCAATGTCTGCAGTGCAATAACCATCTTTCATCCCTCTCCGTAAAACTCGAAATCTCTTTCCACCAACCGTATCAACAACAGACCGTCCATCAGGCAGAAAATGAACGTTCCTAATTTGCAGCATGCAACCATAATCTGCAAAACTAGAAAGGAGACTTTATCAGTAATGTAATTACACAGTTCTATGATGACAGTTGGCTTAATTTAAAAAGAAGACAGAAAAGAAGCTTATTATTAAGAATGTAAACCTACCCATTTTGAGAATCACTTATACACATCCCAAACTGTTTAGTCCCAGTTTCCATACTTCTGCGAATCATCAGTCGGTATCTTGGCTCAAACACGTGTAGAGGGCAAGGCACAGTAGGATATGCCATAGTGCAAACAAACATTGGAACATTCTTGGTCAAGCTTCAAAAGAATGACAAAAGAAATACACAGCTTAAAACTAATTACTGAGCAATGCCAAGATTTTTTTTTTATTACAGTATGTGTTTGAGGTCATAAAACACCTGTTACAAACTTCAGTAATCACCACGTTACAATAACTTCCATAATCAGTAAGAACACAGTCACTGAACACTTATGTATTGATTTGAGTAAGTAACAGCAGTGAGTTGAAATGTCTAGCCAGTGATTATAGGACTTGTCATGTCAGTGAGAGTGTTTCTTGGTTTCTTCCTTTTTGGTTTAGTTGATGCCACAATAACTGCATAGTAACCAGCTCACCATTTAGATTAAGTTCAACGATGCATCCTAAGCTCTGGTTTTTACACTTGCAATGTCTCACCAAGGCCTAGCAATTGAAAAAACTAAGCAGAATCTAGGAGTAATTATTAACGGGAACGTTTATCTAGAAATTCTTCCACTGGAAGTGTGTACCCTCAGGAGCTTTTCAGCACAGCTGTGCTCTGTCCTTTCAGCCCCAGCTTGTACGGATAGCAGGGGATGCCACAATCCAGTTGTAAGACCTTGCACTTGGATCTATTGAACCTCATGAGGTTCAGCTGGGCCCACTGCTCAAGCCTGTCTCGGTCAAGTACCATTTCGATACTAATTTCTCAGGTTTTCTAGGTAAAAGGTGTGAAGCTTACTTTGAGTGTTCAGCGGTTTCTTCAGCATGAATTCTTTTTCTCTCATACAGCTCATCAGACAAATATTTCATTATTAATTCCTCTAGTAGCTCTGTGATGCTGTATTTTCTGCTTGCAAGGTACTGTAAGCAAATTAAAACAAAACGTTTCTTTATTGATATATTAATAGAAGAACTGAGTCACATCAGCTTTTTTTTTTTTTTTTTTTTAAGTATGATGCATGAAATATGTGACAAATGAGATTTATGTCCATGAAAACTTGAAGATATGAAGAGCTCTGAAACTCTTATATTTCTTAACCCCCACCATTAATATCTGAAAATTCTGTTTTAGTTCTTACAGTCCAACATCTCTGGTGTCTAATTCAGTACGTATTTATATTTACCAGAATTTATTTTCCACAGTACAAAGCCACACAAATATGGAAAGCATACAGAAACCACAGAGAAGTCTTATTGAATAGTTATCAGTTTCCTAATAATCAGGATTTAATTATATCATAAAGTAGGTGATCACAGAAACAGAAAACCCTCTAAGACTCCAAGGCAAACCTAGTCAATTTGTATTGATATTTACCTCAAGTGTTTTCTTTCTAGGAGCAATCTACAATCTTAATTCCTTGCATTTTAAGAAGCCTTTACAATGATAAAATGTTTGTCTATCTGAGTTCTACTGATCAACAGTACCTCCTTCAAACTCTCCTTACAGAGTGGACACTGAGGAGCATAGTCTAAACACCGTTCCAAGCAACCTTTGCAAAACGTGTGTCCACAAGGTGTTGTCACTGGCTCAAAGAACAGCCTGAAACAAAGTTAGTAAAAATTAAGATACCGTGGCAAATTTGTGTCCTGCTTAATAAAGAAAACAAACAACTCAGCAATCAACCTTTCTAATTTTTTCCCCACTAATTATTATCTAAAGCAGAGAACATTAATCCCATGTCTCCTAATGCTCCCTTTTCTTCTATGAAGTTTGTTTCCATTCATCACTGCACTAGTTTTGTGCACTTTGTGATTAATCCACACACGTCTCTATGCTCTGAATATTTAAACCTTCACTCCAATACAAGAAGATTTTGATCCTACTACATAGATATTCAAAATATACAAAATGAAGTAATTATTTAAAGAGGTATGTTGCTTTCAAAGCAGTTTTGCACACTATTAACATAACTACAAACAATCTAGCATATTATAGACTATGTTTTAAGATTTCTATTCTAGAACAGAAGACAACTCGATAAGAACTTATATCCATCAACTGCATCTAGTAGATTGTCATTCTGAAGTCATTTCCTTGATCTGAAATGTACAGGTAATCCTTCTAAGCATCAGATCTCCCAAATGAACAAATTAACTAGTTTTACTGGATGAAAAAACCTTCTAGTAGTGTACCACAGAAGATCCTCTCCTTTTTGAGCTACCAGCTGACACCACCAAATCTGACAGGCAACTTGACTACAATTATGATGTAAATATTTAAATAAGTATTTAAATACTGGGATATAGGAAAGGCTGAAAATGTCACTTTCTTAACTGACGTTAGAGCTCATCACAACCTATAAACACCTCAGTTAACACATGACAAAGATATGAAGTCAAATACTGAACCAATGAGAAAAATCTTACCTCATACATAAAGAGCACTCAAAATCTGATACGTCAATCAAATTCCCTGGAACTGTTCCATAAGCCAGTTTCATGTCCCTGTTTGTATTTTCTGAAGAAAGACATAATAAAACACACCTTTCAAAGAAAGGCACAAGACAATAAATACTTCAGATTTTAAATTAAGTGATTACTTACCTCCTTGCTTTTTGTGTTTGTTTCTTCCATCTTCACACACAACTGTATCCTGCTCTGAAAATGAAAGCTTTCTTTTCAACAAAGCACCTTTTTCTTGGCCAGAGAGAAGAGGTTCAGAAGATACTCTCTTTAAGCCATCTTCCTTGGTAAGGGCTTTTGTTGAGTTAAGAGCATGGGCAGATTGTGCACGATTTAGGCTTCCAATCACAGGCTCCAGTACCTCTGATCTTCCTAAACTCTACATAAGACAAAAGAACTGTATATAAGAGATAACACACATATAAGAATATAAAACGTAAACATGCAAAAATGCTAAATCCAAACTGATAGGCAGTTAGCTCATCAGTTAACTGGAAGAATTTGCTAAGTCAAGACAATTCTCAGATTTGCTTATCATTAACAATTAAAAAAATATTTATCTTAAACAGAAGAAAAACTAAACTTCTTACTTTGAAGCTATACTAAAAAACAAATACAAATATAAAAATATTAATAATAATATCAAAAAGTACTTTTTGCTTTGGAACTAATGTAACATCTCAGTAGTTTTTAGTAAGTGGTTCACTTGAATGAAGTATACAATAATCCAAATGAGAAGACACCGCTCCCAAATCATAATTCTTCTAATTTAACCAATTGCAGAGAGCCAGCATTTATGTTAGAGAATAAGCATGACAAATAAGGATATCAGGATGTCTGATACAGACATATTAGCAAGTTTTAAGTATTAGAACAAATTATGATTTCTATTACCTGCTCAGGAAAAAGTTGTAAATTGCAGTAAGGCTCAGTCATCTCAGAACTAAGCACAAAAGATTTATTTCGAGTATGTGGTGAACTCCAAGCAGATTCCTTCAAATTCTCTCCTAGCTTCTCTGGTGACAGTACATCACGCAATGTCTGGAAAACAAACAGCTAACTGTTCATAACAATGAAAGGAGGATCTGGATATAGTTTCATTATAAACCTACGCGCCAAAACCAACAATTCAACTTATATGAAGTTACTCCCCAAATACTTAAAAACAGTTAGGAATAAGCAGAAATCCATACATCTGTATAACTAAGCATAATTTATCTTGGAATCATTTCCACTAGAACTGGATGATCTCTATGAACATTTAGACATTATCAATTAAATATTATACAGTTTTTGCAATGCAGTTTGTATTATTAAGGAAAATGCAACTATAAATTCTTCCACTAGAAGTAAGCAACTTCTTCAGAGTCAGACATTATCGATTCAATATCACAAAAATTTTTCTGTGCAGGTTTTCAGTACTGAAGAAAAGCTGCTGTCGTCTACACATTAAATAATTCAATTTACCATATTCCAGTTACCATTCCCTTTGCAGTCATCTACAAGCAAATTCAGAAGCATAAATACTTTGAGGCATGTGCCCTCAAAAGCCGTATGTTAGGACACTCCAACACAGCATGGTACATCTTGAAAGGAATTAAACCATCAACTCTACCCTCTCTGTATGCATGACAGATTTTTTGATGGTCAATTGTCTACCACAACAGGAATTTTACAAAGGAACCAAAACAGAGGTAGTAATCCAGTTTGATATATCAAATCACCTTTTCTACTTCTAGCTTGGCTGGAAGAAAATCCTCATCAAGGGCTAAGCACTGTAGAAACAGTTGTAAGGCATCGCCTACAAAGCCAGAGTCGTGCAGCACTTTTCCTTTGCGGAAGTAGACCTGAGAAACAGAAAACACGTTTACACTTATGGTGAACATACAGAGCTGTAGTATTCACCTTAAAGGCCTTACAGCAGAGTCAGAACAAGAACCCTCAATGACAAAGGAATGCACCTCTTCAGCAATCTTCAGCCATACACAGGATATCTGATACACACATATCTTGCCTAGCATAAGTCCCCTACACTGAAAATAACTATGGCATAGGCTGGTGTTCATCTCCTTCCAGTTAATTTGCTCTGGCTTAGATAAAAGCCAGACTTTAAAAGAGACTTTAAAATCTTGACTAGTGCTGAATTCACCACACAAGGCCTTAATTTCACTATTCTGTGAGGTTTTGAAAATGGAGAAGAGGGAAATACAATGAAAATTATTACATATCCTTGTGAAACAGCTTTCACTGGACACCTTTTTTGCTGTTTTGTCGGAAGTCTTATAGCTTTAACCTACATGAAAAGACAATCCCCACAACCCTGCATTCCTTACACCTATCTTAATATAGATTCCTAATCCAAAACAATTAAGTTTTGGAATTGCTTCCTCCAACTACATTTTATTCCTGAACACTAAATAAAAAAAATGCTTACTATTTTTTATATAGGGTAGAAGGGAAAGAAAGAGATGAGACTACTGAATGTTGGTGAACTTACAAAAATACAATGTTGGACCCAACTCACATGAATTAAAAAAGTTGTGTTTGCAGTAATATAAACAGAAGCTCAATAAAAAAAAAAATTCTAAACTAGATTTTGGATAATGGGCAAGAAAACTGAACCCGAACAAGAAAAGCAAACAAGCAAAACACTGAATGCAGTTTCTATAGACTGCCAATATGAAACAGTAATCTTAAACAAGGCTGTCAGATGAGGGCGTGCATCTTCTCTGACGGATTTGGGCAGTTTCATTAAGAAGGAAAGCACGCTAATCCTCCTCTTACAGTTACTTCATCTCCTTACACAGACAATAATTTTAATCTATCAAACCAAGCTCAGTTAAATGAAGTCTGAGAAAGAAAGAAAGGCACAATGCTCTCTGAATTTGCAGCAGCCATGAAATTGCTCAACACAGGAGAAAACCAGACCAAAGCAGTTATCTGTCCCTGTGCAGCAAAATCTTGCTGCTCCTGCTGTGCTGAGCTCAGATGCTGCTGCAATAAGCAATATTTAAGTAGTAACATTTCCGAAGGCCAATGACTCTCCAGTTGCCTGCACTGTTTGCAGAATTCAGCTTCCAATGAGTTTCTCTGTGCTTTTCAAAGAAAAACTTTCCCAGCTCAAACAGCAAGTTTTCTTCACCAGACAAACAAAAAAAGGCAACTGTAAGAAGTTACATCACCACAAACTATCCTAACTCCAAATACCAAAGCCAGTAACGAAGGCCCTAAACAAACACATTTTTTACTACTGCAAATAATACTGCAAAAGAATTTAATGTTCTCTCTACATGGTTGGTTTTTTTGTTTGTTTGTTTTTGTTTGTTTTTTTTTAGTTTGTTTTTTTAAACTCTGGTAGCAATTGCAAAAGAAAACTGTGTTGTCCTATTAGTATTTTGTTTTTTCCTAATCAGTGAGACTCAAAAAAACCTGAGAAATGTTGACTCAACGTAGAGCCAAAAATCCTAATCTGCACTGGCAACAATGCTCACTCATCTGACATGATATTCAAAGAACAAATAGCGCTTAAAACGCTCTCAATTTTGGGAAATACAGTCAAAGTATAAAAACTTAGAGAAATGCAGAGCTTTAAAAGGAGAAACTTTTATATAGTGTGAGAAATTTCAAATCTCAGTTACATCAATGAGCCAAACACCTATGGCTCAGAAATTCTGCTCTGAAGCAGTTAAAGCCGGCTGCATGATTCCAGCCAGCCACCCACTCAAATAACATTCAGCTGAATTTAAGTTCGTAAATATTTTAAAACTTTTCTTAAGAGAACCAATAAAAGCACTGTTCCTAAAAAAAGAAATAAGCGCTAACAAGCAACTGTAAACAGCACGAAAGTTCTTCGTAGTACTTCTCAACAAATCAGTTCTGCTCCACGTCACCCTTCATCCAGCATCGCTATCACGTGTTGCGATGGGAAATAAAAGCACCTGAAGTTGTTGATGAAACCTGAATCAACAGTTCCAATTTACAGTGCTGACCAGTTGCCTGTCTCACGTATAAGTATCTATTTTAAGAAACTTTTGAGTACTTTGCACGTACATACAAAGAAAAACAAGAAAACCAAGTGTTTAAAACAGCTTGCCTCATTTGATGAAAAGATTATGCAAAATACCTTATGTTTGCAGATAAACGTAGATTTTGAAAAATTAGGAGTTCAAATCAACTTACCTCTGGCCAATTTGGCATTTTAGAAATAACAAAGTTCAGATCTTCTATGGCTGTTTTATACTCTTGGAGGCCAGCGTATGACTCAGCCCTGTAGATTCTTAGCATCAAGTTACTGGAATCTGAAGACAAAATTAAACAACAACCTTAATAATTTGGAATGTTGTAATTTTTTAATTAGATGTTTTATAGTGATATGTCAAAGCCGTACTGTACAAAAATATTTACTACGCTCTTCTGTACTGCTCCTTATAACAACTGAGGTACCTCCCTCCTGCCTTTTCACCAGTATCTGGATTTAAAAAAAAGTGGCAATACTTCCAAGCTTATGTCTTCCAAGATTAACTTTTGAACCCTTTTATATTTTAAAAGATTTAGCACCAAAGCTGACAAAATAAAGTATTGCTCAATACTGCTGTGACAACAGAAGTAGAGAACAGAGCTGATTTTAGTTTTATGGTACAAACACAAATCTGTCATTTTTCAAGCACAGTGAATCTCAAGTATTAAAAAGTCTAAGTATTAGAAAGCCTCCTTTCAAACATTTGACTTTTTATTGAGACTGTCCTTTGTTCTGATAATGCCCAGCCCCTGCCAGCGACAGCTACAGACAGCGTTAGCACCTGATGATTTATCAGAGATAGTCTATACCCCTACACGGACTGAAAAGATAGCCAACACCAGAAAACCACTGCTGCCAGCTGGCAACCTGCTCTAAGTAGTTGTGCTAGAATCACCTCCACAGAGGAAAAACATTCATGTGTGTTCTTTGAAGACAAATTCTCATGTCCCAAATGCAGCACTTTGGACTTTCAGCACAGGTATCTTGAAATAGGAAATCTCTATGTCATTTAAACCATGGCTTTCATAACACAGCAAACTGCACACCTGTGCTTTTCACCAAAATAAATAAGTTAAACATTAATGTAATGTAAACAACACTCAAATTAAGTTCTGTAAGCTTGTTTGAACAAGATTCCCTTGGAGGGATGCAGAGGAATCATTTCAATTCTATATTCTGTCTTAAGTCTACCCTAAATGCCTAGTTTAAGTTCCCATAATTTCCAATGCTAGCTTGTTTTACACATAAGTCTGCTTTAGCAGCAAGCCAGACCAGTCACTGAACCAAAGTATTTTAACATACTGTTTTATATTTAGATATCACAGGTAAAAGACTTTAATAAAAAAGAAATGGTAAGTAAATAAAAACTACCAACAGATTCCACGGATGAAAACGAAGCGTGCGATTCAGCTATAGTTCAGTTTCCCTTAAAATACATATACTCCTCAATCTGTTTCTATGTTTCAGACAGTTAACAGAAATCGGTGAAAATTGTCTAACTTCACACATAACCCTGCAGATGTAAGAACACTGATGCCTGCTTTCTTGTGGCTTTGTGACTATTGCAACCTCCTGAGGCAGGAGCTCAGTTCTTTTCTATTGCGTTTGACTTTTTGGTGTCCAGCAGAGTCAATATTGACCTAAATTCCTTTCTTCAGAGGCAGCAGTGAGTGGGAATCTTTGTTCTGTAATAAACTAGCAGCCTGTTCGCACTTGATCAGAACGATTTCATCTTCTTCAGACTTTCAAGTGTAGAAGATGATCTCAGGAGTCCCAAATCTCAGGAAGATGGGGTTAGGGGTAGTCTGAAGATAAAAATGTAAGTCAAATCTAGAGCTGGTCGATAGTTTTTTCTTTATCAAAGAGAAAAGCACTGAACTGCTACAAAATTAAGGTCTAAATCAAGGAGTTTAACTAGATCTCAACTCTGCTGCTACACAAAAACTGCCAATGAATCACAGAATATTCCAAGTTGGAAGGAACCCATGTAGATCAAGTCCAACACCTGGCTCCACAGAGGACCATCCAAAAATTAAACCCTATGTCTGAGAGTGTTTTAAAATGAGAATTTAATTCCTAGGCTTTGTATTGTGGAAAAAAAAAGTTTTACAACACTGCAGAATGCATTTTGATGCTTGCCACTTAACAAGATTACATAAAACTATATGGACTACTTCAAAAGTAATGCCTACTGATTTCCATGGAAGCTACCATACAACAAGTACAATTACACTATGTAACAAATTCTCAGCTGCAGAACACTATTTTTTTTTGACACAGTCACCACCATCAGCTATGCATTTACCAGCACCAAACAAGAGCCTGTATGCTGTGCTCTTAAAAATCTGCATGGCCATCCAGAATGGGGGTTTGTCTTTCATGTTGCTGATGTCATTGCTGAAATGCACCACCTACTGCCTCACTGTGCTGACATCCAATGTTTGGTCTCTATAAACATCCAGCAAGCTCTATCATCTGTTGCATGGCAACAAAATGTAATCGAATATTGGTGTGATGGTTCAACCTCTACTGCCATATCATCATCTGCCTCTGACATCATGGACCAACATAGTAAAATAGGAGGCATTACTTTCGGAGCAGCCCTCATATTTCAATTCCTTATATCAAATATTAAACAAAACTAGAAATAGTTTGTTTGAACAGTCAATTTTAACAGCCCAGTATATTAAACAGAGACCACTCACTCCTAGCAAATCAATACAAATTACTGCAATTAAAAACAAAAAGGTACTGAATATCTTCAGTGCAAAAATATATGCACCATATATTACTGCACACAAATAGAAAACTGTACAAAAGTTTACACACAAAAAACACCAGGTAAGCATTCATTTCTTTACTCTCAAAGCATCTTCTTCTGCCTACTGTCAGCATGAGAATATCATAAATGGATTGCTTCTGGTCTGCTCCTACATGATTTTCACCTGGTTCCCTAGCTTCAGTTGGTAAAAGCAGCACTCTGCACCAGTGTTCAAAAGAACTGCAGGATGCAGTATTTATGAATGCAGTACAACAGGGTCAATTCCAATGGTCAAGGGTGCAAACACCTGAGAAGAGGCTGAGCTCACTGGTGTTGTTTAATGAGGAAACATCGGCGGCAGCAGAAGAACCCAAGAGCCTCTTGAAATCCCAGAAGAGGCTGCCTAGATCACAGAACCTGACATGCACAGCAGGAAAAGCAAGTGACAATGCCTTAGAAACCAGAACAATGGTAGTTCTGCCTTTATGTAAATAGAAAATGTTTCACTACGATGGTAATTAACCGTTCAACAGGTCGTCCTGACAGCAGCGGAATCTTCGCCCTGGTGGCGTTTTCATGGTCCAACAGTACAAAGCCTCCAGCAAACTGCTCTAATTCAGCGCCTGCCCTTTGAACACAGAGTTGGTCAACAGACCTCCTAAGGCTCTTCCAGCAGGAACAGGTTTGTGACTGTACAACCTCTGGTGAGAGAGCTGGTGTGTTGGGATTAAAGCCTTCCTTTACATAAGGTAATTCCTTCCAATGCCTGCACAGCACACGTTATCTATGTGAATGTTACCATTCCTCTCGTGTTTCTCAAAAGTAACTTCTTTCTCGTTTCAACGAATTTCCTTATGACCCATGTAAGTCAACACTGTACTTCAGAACACTCCACACACGCACACACAAAAAAAAAAAAGAAGAAAGAAAAAGAAAAGAACCTCTTCCAACACTTCCAATAGGAAATGGGACCTGTGGGGCTGTCGAAGCCCTAAAAACCCACAGATGCACAAAACCAACACAGCGGGTCGCTGTGCCAGCACCACCCAGGTGTGCCCACCCCCGGGCCGAGCCCCGCAGGGTGCACGAAGCCACGGCCGTACCGCGGTCCGCCTGGCGGTCCCGCCCGCCCCCCGCAGCCTCGCCCGGCACCAGACGGGGCGCGGCTCCGCCCGCCATGATGTCACCGCCATTACACAACCTGTCCCCGCCGTGCCTCGCGCTTATGCAACCGGACCCGGCCCTCCGGAGCCGAGCGGTGACACTGGAAATGGGTCTCCGTCAGGAAACGGGGTTACGCGCGGTAACGCGGGCGCGGCCGCCACGGGACGCATCGGTCAGCGCGGCGGAAAGGAGGCACCGGAGCGCACCTCAGGCCACGGGGAGGCTCCCCGGGTCCCAGCGACAAACTTGGAAAACTTCAGAGCGCTGAGACACAGCGCGCCGAGCGCATCCTTCCCCGTCCCTCCCTCAGGAGATGGGACGCCGCCTCCCCCCCTCCGCACCCGGCTCACCTGCCCGCAGCGCCTGCCCGGCGGCGCCCAGCGCCTCTCGGAAGCGGCCCTGCGCCAGCAGTTCCTCCAGGCGCCCGCCGGCCCGCGCCCGTTCGCACTCCCTCGGGAACCACTTCTCGGCCAGCTGGCTGAGCACCACGCTGGTGCGCAGCGGGGCGGCGGCCGCGCCGGTGCCCCCCGCCGGCAGCAGCCGGTCTCGGCAGCGGCGGCAGCGGGCCCGCAGCTCTCTCCGCAGACAGCGGCGGCAGTAGGTGTGCCCGCACGGGACGGTGACCGGCTCGCTCAGGAAGCGCCCGCAGCCGCAGCACCGTAGCGGGCCCTCGGTCGCGCCTTCTGCGCCGCGCTCCCGGCCGCGGCCCGGCCCCTGCCGCAGGCGGTAGTTGAGCACCAGGCACTCCACCAGGGTCCCGAAGCGCCGCGGGCCGGCGAGCGGTCCGAGGCACAGCGACGCCAGGGAGGAGCCCGCCGCTTCCTTCATTCGGCCCCTCCGCTCCCCGTCCGCCTCCTCGCCGAGCCGCCCGCCGCCTCCCGGCTCCGGCGACGCGTCCGAGCCCACGGCCACAGGAGAGAACGCCATCGGCTGCCGGCTCGGCCGAGGGGGGTGTGGCGCTGCCGCTCCGGCCGCCGGGCCCGGCGCTGCGCAAGGCGCCCAGGCACTGGCAGCGCGGGGCGGGGGAGGAAGCTAGGCACTCTCCGCGCGGGGCGGGGGGCGTGTCACGTGCGCGCCTCCGCGCGCGCGACCCGGGGCAGAAGGGGGTGCGGATACGTGTGCGCTCCCCCCGCCCCACCCCGCTCCCACCCCTTTCAAACGTCTCCACGCGCCCTCGCCCCGCCGCTTACATAAAGAACCGCGTCAGCTGATGGCCGGGCCGGCTCGCCATTGGTGGACGCTCCAGGGGCGGGAGCGAGGCGGTTACAAAACGCCGCGCCGCGCGCGCGTTCCGTAACAGGGTGGGAGGGGCGGGGTTGGCGCCGGGCGGACTGGGCGTGAGTCAAGCGGGGGGCGGGCTGGCGTGGGTGGGCGCGTGCTGCCGTTAGGGAGCGAGCGTTGGGTAAAGCCCTGCTCTGTCTTAGAGGGGAGCGGGACGTGGGGGAAAAGGGGACGGCTGCGGGGAAAGGGGTCGGTCCCGAGGCTTCGGATTGTGGCACTTATAGGCGCTGCAGCTCCTTGGAGTGTCTCTAGCTCCGGTGGGAGTCACGCGTTAGGAGTGCTGCCGGGGGCGGTGCGAGGCGGAGCAGCCGATTTTCTCGAACGTTTTTTGTTCGCTGTGTATCGCGCTTGTAGGATGGTGGCTGATGCAGTCGCTGGTCAGATAATGCCGTAACTGCCAGTTGTTGCAGAGCATCTCCAGTTTTCCGGGAGCATAAAATAGCGAGCCTAGCGCATTTGGGAAGCCTCTGATCTCTGCCTAAAGCGTAACCGCAGCCCGCTTTGATGGGGGGATGTTCTGGGTTTCTACGTGTTTGTTAAGCCTCTAAAGAAAGCATGGAGTCCATGGCGTGACATCCGGCTGTGCTGTCGGAACTCATTCCCTCTCAAGCCTATCCTTTGCGTTTACAGTGCCTTTCTGCTTCCTGAAGTCAAATATGAGAGATGCTGTGGGAGTTGAAATACCAAGGGAGAACGTTGGACAGCTTTTAAATGTGGAGAGATAGCAGTCTTAAAATGACTGTTCATGAAAATAGTCAACATGAGTTAGGAAGTGACAGCCTCAGGAAAGATTGAAGTAAAAGGTGCTTGGAGTGTGGACTTGAATGGTGGTGGGATAGGGTGGAATGGTTTGAATCACCATGGATAGTTGCAGTGGTTCTGGGTTTTTTTTTAAGCTTATGAGGAAATACGAGGACAAAGTTTCAAGGAAACTAGCAGAGATTTCAAACAAAACTCTTCAGGAAGTAGGGTGAATTGGCATCAAAGAGAGCAATACTTTGTTTTTCATTTCAGATTAGATTACCCATGGAAACAGAAAAACAGGGCAACATTCAGGGGGTTGTGGAAATTCATTGAAATGCTAGAGTTAGGATGATAATAAAGTAGAAATAAAAATCCTTTTTCACCATTTCCAATGAATCTTTTGAAAGTTCACATGTTAACATACTGGTCATTTGAACAGTATTATCAGCTCAAATCAGCTTTTTTAAAAAAATTTTTATTCCCAGATTACAAGAATAAAATAGACCTTTGCTAAACGGAGCGTCTTAGGGCAGAAGAACACAGCTTTATCCACCAGTCCTCCACTTCAAACCAATTAGAAACAGAGAGAGACGAGAGTTTGGATTGGATGGATGAATGGGTTGATAGGGAGCCTGACACTATCCTGCTCCCACCAGTTTTAGAAATCTATCTTTAGTATCTTCTTTCACAGCTTATTCTTTGTGTGAGTATACTTACTGTCACTGTAAGCCTTTACTGTCTGCTCATGTTTGTGACACATTCTGTTCTACATTCGTAGCTGTCCTCATTTCTCTTGGAAATTCAGGACTTCATGCATCCAAAAAACATTGACTAGATTTAGATAGATAGTGTTTTTCTTGTTCTGTGTGATTGCAGAAAGACACTGAAGCATTTCACTAAAGGCCTCAAATATGTTGTTAAATACATCAGCAGTATGTTGCAGGTAGGGAAGCCTCTGGATAACAGATAATTTTGGATCATGGCGCATTAGGGTTGGGCTCAAGATGTGTTGAAAGAAGTTCATAGTAAAGAATCTCTTACATAAAATTAATCACTTCCTTGTCAGGAAATTCCCTGGACACGGATCTCTGGAATGTGGCACATTACTTGAGGACAAATTTGCCTGTATGTTCACCTTGTCCTAATTTTTAGATGCACATTTTTTATTAGTCTTGGAAGCGGGATTCTAGGCCTTGTTAAGCCATGCTGTTATCCAGAGTGGTTGTACTTACATATTTAAGTTATGTTTGTTCCTTCAAGCCTAGTTTTGGGTGCAGTATTCTATCACTGGCATGCCTAAGAAAAAACTCAGTTTTCTCATATTTCACTGTGTTACTATCAGAATCTGACGGTTACGTAAGAAGGGAATAAAAGACCTGCAGCTTTTTACTAGATTAGATAACACACACAGTTCCACCAACACTTGATTATAAATAACACATGCGAGGTTTTTTTTTCTTCCTACTGTAGAATGAGATAAATAATACTTTCAGACAACAACACATATCTGTGCAGTTGCACAGTTTGTGTGGGCTGTTCTAAGAAGGACTCCAGGGATTGTCCTTCCCCTGCCTTCTGTAGAGCAGAATTTTACAACTGCTTGTGTAAGTCTTGGTTGCCCTCATTCAGCAGGGTGCCTACAAAATGTTAAGCCTTCAGTATAGTGAGGTAGAAGTACATTGCTTATGATTTTAAGCTATTAATTTGATGTTTCTGTAAGCAATTGTACATGTAGTGCGTGCAGCCTGATTAAATACAAGATGACCATAAGAGTGTTTTGTCTTTAATTATGCCTCTTGTAAATTATATAAAATTACCTTGATTTAAGGTTTTCAGAAATAAACAGCACTGTAAACAAAATGAAGCAAAACCAATGCAGGCTGAGAGAACAGGTAGTGGACCTGAAGCTTAATGCCTGGAAGTCTGGAGCTGTGTATGACAGTCTCTCTTGATGTATATCCCAAGAAAAAAGTAGTTAATCCAAGGAAAGTTGCTCCATCTCATGAGAAATGTGGTAACTGCTTTCCAGCTACTTTCCCTCTATTTCTTTAAAGGTAGTTACCTATCCAGCTGTTGTAAATTTTGCTAGGGTATGTAGAAAAAAATAAAACTAGTTGGAGATTCAATTAGGTAAAATAATGTTCATACTTTTTTAATTTTTAAATGTTACTGTTCCTGAGAGTGAGTTGTTCTGCTAAGAAACTATTAATACTTTTTCTTTAAAAAAAAAAAAAAGAAAAAAAAAAAAGAAAATATGAGAGAGTATATCAAAATGTACTTAGAAAAATCTTGAACTTCTGAAGACCTTAGTGATCTTTGAATCACTTCAGATGTGGCTAAAGAATAAGGAATAATGAATCCTTAGATGCAACTCCATTTTGTTTCAGTTTGTTTGTTGTTGCTTGGTAGACTTTTTGGAGCTTTAATAAGGTAGCTCCAGCAGGCAGAATTCTAAGTGCAAAAATGCTCAGCATTTGTGCAGTAAAGCAAGTACTGACATTTCTGCAGTACAGCCTTTAGCAGAAGTACTTTTTAAACTCTTTTTTTAGGCATGAGCTGCAACAAAGTTGCTTTTCCAGCTTGGCCTTCAATGTTCAGGTAAGCTTATCAGATCTAGACAGCTACAGCTATCTCTGGCATTTTTGTGCAGTACTGCAGCGTGGGTTTTTCAAGAAATTCTAACTCTCTTCTAACTAACTTCTGAAATAGGGCACTCAAAGTTATTTAATTACACTTACTAAGTATGATAGCACTATCGAATAGAAAAAAAGCCACTACAGATAGGATAAATGGTTAACTACATGTTAGGTAAGGATCCCATGAAAAATAGAAAGAAGGCAAAGTATAACAGAGCTGAAAATACCAGCAAAAGACATATACAGATGAACAAAGAGGGAGTTTATGGTGAGATCCAATAAAGGACTTGCATACCTAAAGCAAGCTTTAAGAGGAATTTAAGTACTGAGGTTCTAAAAAAGAGATCTAAGAAATCTCGCACAGCTGCTGCCTAAGTGGGAAGATGCCTGAAGTCAGAAAACTTTTTAATTTATATCCCTAGAGTGGCTAGGGTTTTATTTCTCCAGCAGCTGGAACTGCTGCAGAACTTCTCTGCACTTACTCTTAAACCAGTCTTCAACTGAGTTGTCAAAGTGACTCTACTTTGTCAGTATTTTCAGGCCCCACCAAACACGTTGTTGTATTCAGAGATTCTTAAAGTTAGGTCTATTTGCTTGCTTTTCACATTTATGTGAAGGATGACAAGATGGAGTAACTTTTTATTTAACAATCTATCTTCAGTTACATATCTGAGCTGCAAGATTCAGTTTGTTTCTATCTAGGAGTTTTCAAACTTGTCTCATCTCTCCAAGTAATTTATCCTAAAGTGTGACAGCATGAATTTAAATTGTCTTGGGAGCATGAATTAGAGATGAGGATGTCATTTCCTGCTGAATGCCCTATTCTTTGGGATAAATCTCACACTTTATTTCTGTCCCTATAGACTTTGAATCCTTTTCTTCTCAGTGGCACAGCTTTAACAGGATCGGAGGAGAGTCATCTTTGTTTTTAATATCCTATTTCTTGTTGAGTAGAATCACTTTTCTTTATTTAAAGAAAATATTTATCGATTTAAATCTTTTTGATTTAATGAGGGCCTGCAATGGCAATGGGTTGCTCTATGAGAGGTGCTTTTCTTCCTTCTGTTATCTCGGCCATGATTTAACAGAATGGTAGTTGGATCCTACAGATAGAGAGGACTGTGGAGAGGACACATCAGTGAAAATTTTAAAAAAATTATATAAAAAAAATTGGAATTGCATAATTTTTGTGTCCAGATAACTCATTCCTTTAGTGGTGCTGGGATTAAATGTATTCCCATCAAAAATGATAGTCATCACACTTAATATGACACTACTGATATGGGTGTTTTTGTGTATGTTTTTATATATATTAGCATCAATTGCTGTTGATGAGCAAGATGCAGGAATCTGATCTGATGATTACATTTTGGAGTTGTGAAAATACAGTGGCTGCCTTGAAGACACCAAGTGGAATTGCTTGTTTCCCTGTTCTTGTGTTCGTTTTTTCCTCCATGGTGTGATATCCAGCATAGAGCTATAAAGATATGCATTTCAAAAGATAGCAGAATTTTTCTACACTTGCAGGACAATACAATTCTAAATGTGATCAATAAGTTTTTATTTTAGGCTTCTCTGGTTTGAAAACCTTGTCTAGCTCCAGGTATGATACAAGTAATGTTTGTCTTCTCTTTAGGAAGAGATTCCTTGGACTGATTGGACTTCTTCCTTCTGCTATTTTGCCTGGTAGGAGATTCACTTAATAGATTAGTAAAATAGCTAAATTTGAAGTGGAAAAGCTTTTTTTTGCTGCTATCAATATAGATTGACATATATTGTAACAATTCAAATTGTCATGATTTGACAGCTTTAAATACTGAATTTAAAGAGATCCAGAGCACTGTGTAGTCATATTTATTCTTGATGTTCAAGTGCTTTTAATACAGAACTGCAAACTGAATAATGAACAAAAAGACGAATAGTTAAAGTAGAACTAAAAAGGCTTTCATTAAGGAAGGAATTGCTTTTACAAAAATGTTTCACTAACTGTGTGCAAGACAAGTAACTCAGCCAGCATTTATTTTCAGTTTATCAGCATGTTTTCTGCTAGCTGAAGGTTATTGACTTATGATTTTATTGAATATACTAAAGTTTGTGGTTTTTTTTTTTTTTTTTTTTTTTTTTTGTAGCATTAATGCTTCACAGTGAAGAAAAAGGATAAGCTCGTTATTTATAAATGAATATAGAGCAAAAGCTCAAGATAATGATTGGGATTTGTGTTCTGTGCTACAATTTGATATTTAAGCAATAATTGATTCTGATATCTTTTTAAATATTATCTGTTTCTTGTTATATATACTTATGTATGTTCTCTAATACATCTTTGTTAAGTTGGGTGCTTTGCATCTACTTATGATCATCCTCTGAGATACATATTTTTGTCAAATAAAGTTCTTTGTTCTTTTGATTTCTAACAATTATGATGTTCCTTCTTATACCCTTAAAGAAAAAAATCGCTGTCATTATATTGCATTTGTATTAAAAATACACCAGTGCTACACAAGATTTTTTTCTTTCTGTATTAAGGGTGATACTTGTTATACTTGATATCTCAAAAGGAAAAAAAAAATCTATCATTTTTGGGTAGTCAGTAATAGTTGTGGAAGTAATTTCAATCTCTTTGTGTACTGAATTTAAGAAATATGCATAGAAATTACTTTGTAGCCTCCTCACAATGTTAAGTGGCAAAACCCCCACATTTCTTATTACCACTGTATCGTACCTCAGCCTGTGATAGGGTATAAAATGAGACTGTCAAGTACCTCTACTTCCAGTGTAAGCTGGTTGTGCTAGTTCTAGATAAATCATTGGTTTTCAATATAGTTAATGATAAAGTAACCTGTCTTTGAAAATTGAAAAGCTGTTAATACAGGTACAGAACTTGGATTTACTTATTCTCTTTAGATCAACTCTTTAGGCTCAAAGAAGTATGCTCTTTGTCTTAAATATTAATCTACTATTTTTCTAATAGAGTTTACATGCAGCTTTTTATTACCTAATGAGTGCCCCTTCAGAAATTCTGTAATACTAGGCAACTCTTTTTGGTCAATGAGAATAGAATATTTTTCAAAGACTATGAATAATACTCTTTACTGAATCTAGTGTTGTATGAAGAAAATGAGCTGAATGAAAATTGGTTAATTTAAACTTAAGGTGCAAAAAAACGTCTATTCAATTAGATGTCCTGTTTGGCAATAGTTTGCCTCTTAGCAGCCAAGTGAATTTTCTTGTTTATTTTGATTCCTTAATATCTCCTTTCTGCTTTGGCTTATATCTCTTTTCTATGTCCTCCTTACTTCTTGAACATTAGTAGCATCACACAGTACATTGTACATTGTAAGCTGGGTTATTACATACATTTTACCAGTCTTTTGTACAGTGTAGTGCAGGAAATGTTCTCTTCTGTATCACTTCTGACAAAAGCAGTTGTTTGCAGGCTTGAATTCAGAGTCTATCTGGTGGTGGTTGCGTTTTTGTTTTTTTTTTTTTTCCAACAGAGCACTGCATCATACAGAAGAAAAGTGAGCACGCTAAAACAAGTAAATGAAACATGAGCTGAGTAAAGAACGTTTACTATTTCAGTTTTTCTCCTCCCTACTTTTTTTTTTTTTTTTTTTTTTTTTCCTCTGTATCTTTCCAGTGCAATAAAACAATTTCTGGGCTCAGGCTGGTGCCCACAAATCATCAATGCAGAGACAAAAGAGCACTTCATTTCCTAACTAGATTCTATTCAGCAACAAAATCAAAGAACATGGGTGTTTTCTTTTTTTCCCCAGTATGTATTTGTGCAAATCTGTCATTGTATGCAATGGTACAGAGTTTCAGTGATATGAATTGAGGCTGGTCACATTTTCTCAAAGGTATCTTTAGTGAATGTAGCCCATCCAAAATTATCTTCATTGTATCTTCAGTCCTTGTCACATGTTACATAAGCATTAAATTTTAGGGATCCCACTTAAGTATCTGTGTCCTTCAACTCCTGATTGTCCAAAAGTGATATGGAAACAGCTAAAAGATCATGATACACCCATACATGTGAGTGTAACTTTTAAAGCACATTGCTTGATATTTTATTGGTACTTCTATTTCTAATTTTAAAAGAAAGAAAATCCTACCAAAAAATCCCTCAGTCCTTTAAGTGAGCAGCTTATCTTTTTGTTTTTCAGGTGTTTGTTGGCACTCTGTGTCCATTTCCTATTTGCTTTTCTCTGAACTCCAGTTATGTTAGATCATTACAGCAGAAATATTTAAAATGAAACATAATTATAGTGTAACTTTAGCAATACGTCGTATTTACTTATAATGCTTATGTAAATATTTCTATCACATTTCAATTCATTATCTTCCATAGAGTAATATCTGATGACTGAACTATGTACTTCGAGGTTTTCTCTCTATAATATTAGCCAGTTTGAGTAGGAATGCTGTGTAGCTTTATTATAGTGTTTCCATTTAGTGAACTGTTCTGAGAAACAAGCCTGGGCAAAATACCAACCTAACAGGGCCACACTGCTTCTGTTACTTGAACTAACGTGAGCTACTTGTTTATTTATGTGAATGGTGTACCTTATCATCTTTTATTCTCAGCTCAGAAATAATAATTAAATATTTTGTTTGTCTACTGCAGTAAAAAGAAGAGATATATTGAAGATTTTGCAAAACCTGAAACTGAACAGGATCAAGCTTTTTCCTTGCTAATCCCCTGCAGAAGTATAATTTTCGTGGCTTTTTTTATTGTATACCTTTGCAATGTTTCTTCTAAACAGTTGATTTTATATGCTGTATGTGAAAGAAGACTAAGGACAGAAAGCAAGGACTTTTTTTGAAGAAGGAATAAAGAAGTTATATTCTTATACTTGCCTTTTTTTCTGAAATTTTGTGAATCCAGTCAAGAGGACTTGGGTCATTTAGGTATTTGTGGTTAACACACTGAAAGTTCAGATCTGTTTATGCAGGTAAATACTGCCTGAATAAAAAATGATTTTCAGAATCATACATTTTCCATGCTTATAATATACAGCTTTCAAAGAAGGTCCCACACTGTAATCATGCTAACAGTGATTTAAAAGGATCGTCAAATCCCAATTAAAATATTTGAAAATCAGCTGGGTTAATGTTTCATTGAATTAATTTTGTTTAAAGTAACTGAATTAAAACAGTATCTTCAAGATGTGGATAGCTCTAACTTTGAATGAGTGGTAAGCGATGCACCTATTTAGCCTATCGAAGCAATTTAAAACTAAATAATATGTTACCTCCATGTAGGTATTTAATCATTCACTGTTTTTCATGTATGTCCCTTCTAATGGCATGCAATCAGGTTGTCTTTTCTGTAGGTCAGAAAAAGGGTGATATTTTAATAATAGTTTCTAAGGTCTCTTACCCAAATAATTATAGTGTTGTCGTTATGGTTTAACTAATTATTTGTCTAATGGAAAGTACATTCAGGTTTCAGTTATCTGAAAATGGTGAGATAACTCAGGATTTACAAAAACACATAATACACAAAGTAACTATATGCAAGTCTATTAGTACATGCCTGCTGAGGAGCAAAGAGCAATGTCTTAGCTGACCAAGTGATGTTAAAGCATCTCACTGTGATGCTTTTGCAAATCAGCCTCCATAAGCATTAATCTTAATACATCAGTTTTCTCTGTATTCCTGCGGAAGAGTAGGATACACTGAATAAATTTTTTTCCATCTCTTTTAAAGCATAGTATGTCTGATGCATAGACAACAAGGAATCCATAATAACTAAATATGATACTATAGTGACAAGTGTAGGCGCTAGATTGAGGTTTCAGTCCTCCTGTAAAAACTGTTTTCAACTAAGAAGCAAACACAGCTAAGTTCTCACATTTGGTAATTGTATCTGTTCTCTGTTACAAATCAGATACTATCTTAGAGTATCTGAAAGCATCTTACAGTAGTTTTCTGAGCACTTATGTTAGATAAGTTAATATTAGTGTGTTTTTTGAATGGGTAAACTGAAGTTTGTAGAAATTGGTTGATTTTGTTCTTTTTATTGCTTTTTTTAATGCTGTATAGTAAATTTAGCAATAGCTTATTATTTGAACTGCTGACGTCTAGAAGGTAGACTCTCATGTCTTGCAGTGGAACTCTGTTGGCACAGGACTTACAGCACGTTCTAATTTCGGATTTGTAAGACACCTAGGGCTGGTATTATGGAGTCCTACCTCTCCCTCACTTCATTCCTGCTCTTCACTAAAGAGCTGAAAAAGCTGACAAGCTGTTGTCATCATTTTCCTTTGTGATACATTGCAGTGTCTTGTTATGAAGTAGTTGGTTGTATCTTGGGGCTCTCAACCGTGAAGATTTGATGTAGGATTCAACATTCAACAATGTGTCAGCATTCATCACTCCTGTAATATTTCTTCCTCCCACTCGTACTGCTTTAACACAATTCCTTAGCCACAAATCTAAACCAAAACAACATAGACTAGATGTAAATATTCTTAATTGTAGAAAGAAAAGATGCAATATGATTTTTATTTAAACATTTATTTAAAAATACTTTGGGATGTTTTTTGATATCTGGAATACCTTGATAAAATTGTAAGCAGAATAATCCAACGTTTGCAGTACCAATGCCTGGGAACTAACAGACTTTCAGAATGCATGTGGTTTGCAACGTCATTAACAAGATTAATTGTCAGGCCAGTAATTGATTTCTACTTATACTACTGGGACTGAGCTGTTCCTATTATCACCAAAATCGCCTCTCTCTAGGCAATCTGAGCAGTAATGTGCTATAGTAAAGCTGAAACAAATCTCTAGTCTTGATAATGTTTCATTTTAAGACAATGACTGACTTTCTTAGGTCTCTGTAGAAAGCCATAATGCTTTTATCTGTTCTTACTGTAAATAATCTGGGATGACTGTTTTAAGCAATCTTGCTTAGTGTAGCGACTAATTATCATTGCTTTTAGAGAAGTATCTTCATTTGTGTAATATAATTGTCTTGAACATTCTAGGTAGTTGATGTATTTAAAATTTGTGTATCAGTAAAGTGGGTTTTACTGTAGGTGCTATTGTTTTCACTACATACTTCATTTCTATAATTCTTGCGTCATAACTACTAACATTAAAATATACATACCTGCAATCAAAGTATTTACAGCTCTTCACTGATGATCAGGCTCCCCATGCTTGCCAGGACCCTGAGCCTCTAGGTGTGGGTGAGAGGAGTGGATTCTGTCCCACTGTAGCAGTGGAACATGTCCAATACCTTCTTGTGAAACCGAATGTGTATAAGTCCATGGAGCCAGATGACATGCATTCAAGGGTTCTGAGAGAGATGGCTGATGTGGTTGCTGAGTACCTCTCCTGTCAGGGAAGGTTGAGGGCTTGTTTAGCTTGGAGAAGACACCAAGGAGGCTTCATTGTGGCCTTCCAATATTTGAAGGAAGAATATAAGCAGAAGGGGGAATGACTGCATGGGTTGATACTGATAGGACAATGGGGAATGGTTTTAAACTAAGGGGAGATTTAGGTTAGATTTTAGGAGGAAGTTTTTCACTCAGAGGGTGGTAATGTACTGAAACATGTTGCCCAAGATGGTTGTGGATGCCCCATCCCTGGAGGCATTCAAGGCCAGACTGAATATGGCTTTGGGCAGCCTGGTCTAGTGGTTGGTGACCCTGCACATAGCAGGGGGGGGGGGTGAACTAGATGATCATTGTGGTCCTTTTCAACCCAGGCCATTCTATGATAAGTGGGGGCTGCCTGTTGCAGTGAGCTGGCTGAGTTGATCCTACAGCCTAGAGGTGCATGCAACACAGGCTTAAGGGCCAAGCTGCATGTAGCACGGGGTAACTGCTGTGTGGGTCACTAACTCCAGGACCGTGTACGATGGTCAAGATCACTATAGCTTAATGCAGGTTAAAGGAAATAAATGCATCTTTTGAATTGCTCATAATATATTTGAGCTTTTCTCCTAAGAAAATGGTATTGGTTTCATTTGTAAGACTTGTCTATGTGTTCCTGTATACCTGCTTTACTTCATTCTGCAAACTGCCAGCACCACTCAGAATGTGTATATCGCTTTGAGAAGCTGCTGCTACTTCTCCTGTAGCAGATGCACTATCTTGTACAGAATACAGGATCCTGTACAAGTTTCTGTTTGTTCCTTGGAGTTAGGAGCAGGGCTTATGCAAAACTCTCTGAAGATGCTTCAGACATGTTTTATGGGAACTGCTGAATCATGGCCTGAACCTCTGATTGATCACCTGAGGCAAGCAATGAGTCAGTCACAGGAACACAGGTGAAGGCAATTCACCCCTCCTAGATCCATTTAAGAGCTGACTACGAGTAGGAAAGGATCTCTTCTGGAGATCCCTCCTCTGGAGTTTTACAGCAAGCCCAGAATGCTGGTGAGCACTCTATCCATTCTCTTTTTGTTGTTATAACCTTCTTAGCTAAACTCTCTTGTTTATTTCATAATTATAACATCTTTATATTCATTGATTATACACATGTATATACGGAAAAAGTTTTTTGCTATAAGGGTGTTGAGGCACTGGAACAGGTTCTCTAGAGCAACAGGTCTAGAGAAGTGTTGGATGCCCTGTCCTTGGAGACATTCAAGGTCAGGCTAGATGGGGCTCTGAGCAACCTGATTGAGCTGTAGGTGTCCCCCTCTGTTGATGGCAGGGGAGTGGGACTATATGACCTTTAAGGGTCCCTTCCAGCTCAAACAATTCTATGGTTCTGTGCTCAAGAGAAGTTTAAAAATTGTGAAGCAAATTTCATGATACAAATAAAAAATCATGTTGTTATTTATGAAAGGTAGCAAGTAGTGCTGAATGAAAGTAGAAAGATTTTTGTGATGCAGATTCATACGCAAGCATGTATCCGTATTTTATTTTTTTATAGACAATTATACTTCCGTGTAGATTCAACTCTCAGCATTTTACATTTTGCATCATTACCTAACGTTACATAAGAATTTTTAAAAGGCTTGAAATGCCTATTCTGCTATGGAAGCTTCATTCTCTGGCCAGAAATACTTCCCATGGTGCTGAAGAAAATTCACATTTCTCTAGCCAGATGTTGTTTTTCTGCAGACTTGTCCATTAGAAGTAGTAGAACTTTGAATTTTGGCTAAAATTAGTAAATGTGCTGACGTGAAGATGCATTCAGTGCTTGGTAAACAAGTTTGAAATGATGTTTTAGATAAGATGAAGAAGGTAGTGTAGTTTGAAATTGTTTTGTTTTCCCATTAGAAAATCGACATTTAACAAACTGCTTAATAGGTCAAAATACCCTTCAAGCAAGGAACTGAAGTTAATTCTGTTCGTGTTAAATGGATAGTCCAGGATTTTAAGTAATTTTCTAATTACTTCTTATCACACAATGCATACCAGAAGGAATATACGTGTGTATGTAAGATAACTGCACTTCCAGGAAAATAATGACAAATATGGAAACTGCTGCCAATCTTTAAAATTGCTTAGTCTTGTAAGTTCAGCAGTTAACTCTTAAAAATTGTGGGTTTTTTTTTTTTTAATTGACAGAGTTCCCTTTTCAGTGGAATGGTGTAGATATTAAAATAAACAAGAAATTAGTAATGGAAAACTTTTTAAAATGTTTTCTTTCAATTATGTGTAACTATTTTCATTAGGAATTTAAAAAAAAAATAACTAGAGCTAAATATTTCATTCCATTTGATTTGTTGTCAGAGTTTGAATTTTGTGCGTACCACAGCATTGTTCCCATGCTTAAGCTGCACAATTCCTATGGAAGCCAGCTGAGTTCTCAGTCACCAAAGCTTTATTCATGTTAGAGATTGTGAGCCTGTCAAGCAAGAGTATAGAATCACTTGTGCTCACACAGAGAAGTGTCCCTGTATTTGTACTTATCGGTGACTGACTTTTCTCCTTACATATCATCTCCTTCAGAGATCTCCAGTAATATTGTGTCAGAATCAAAGGGGTTGAGAGAGTAATAGGAGTCCTTGTGCTTTTTGTTCTTTTTGCTTGACTCTTGCCTCATCTGGTATATCTGCTTAGGTGCTAGAACAGTGGAAATGCTGGGCATAACCAATGGCTTCCAGTAGGTTTTTTACTAGAGAAGTTTCCATTA